GTTTTTTTTTTTTTTTTTTTTTTGTCTTTTGTCTTTTTTTCCGTGTCCGGCAACGGATCGCAACCCTCAGTGTTGCCCCCGTACCGGACCGGGGACCAGCAACGGGATCGCAAACCTCGGCGTTGCTCCCGCGCCTCGCTCAGCCAGTGAGCGGGAACCGGTCTGCATATGGGATCCGAACCCTCGGACGGGAGCGCCACCGCGCTTCCCAAGCGGCGCACTATCCAGTGCGCCACTGGGCCGGCCCTCGTTGAAGTGTTTTCTAAGCCAACAGAAGTCTCTGAGCCTTTCAATCATGTAGCACACATAGGGCCTCATTAAATTACAACACTGAGAGACCACAGGGAGTACAGAAGGCGCCCCACCCAGAAGAGCCAAGGAGCTGTCCTGGGCAGGAGAGCTGCAGTGGAGAGCAGTGTGTGTGGCTGCCACAGAGCAGGGCTCTCATGGTTTCCTGAAGCAAACCACTGGAGTTTTACCACCCAAAGACCAGGTCTCCTGGGCAAGGAGTCTTGTCCTATCAGTGCTCTCCAAGAGGGGTACATGAAGTGGAGCTTTTAGGTGCAACTCAGTGGCAGCTACAGAGTCAGGTCACTAATTGTGTGTTATATGTAGAACTCTTGTATTTAGTTTTTAAAACTAGTTATACTGTTTTAACTCCCTGAGAACTTAATGCATTGGAAAAAGTCAGAATTTTATGTTTCTCCTCCTCATCAGTATCCTTGGCTGTGCAGTGTGAATATAGGACCTTAGTGATGATATTTTATCTCCCCTGATATCTGCTCAGAAATTAGCCAATGAACACTAAGCTTCCCCACTTTTAAAATCGTCATATTTCTGAAACACTTAGTAAAGTAAATCAGGTGATGAACAATGTTTATCATTAGAGATGCCACCATGATGTCATTACGATTCATGAGTAGGTGACATATGAAAATGAGTATCTACATGAACAGGCATCAACTTTGCGCACATGTTGTTTAGTTCTGGAAAATGAACACGATTAAAAGCATTAGCCAAACTTACAGCATCACTGGTGTTTGCCAAGCAAGCTGAGTTGCCTTTCAGAAGGAGGAGGCTGTTGAGTAGTTAGTTTGCTCACATAAAGGAAAAAGTAGCCAATGGAAAATGTTTTGGCTTTTTATCATAGCTAAGGAAACAGATAAAGAATTTACTAATCATTATTTATAAACAATAAAAGCTGGGCTTTTTTTTTTTAAGTGCTGCAGCTTTAGGCAGGTCTAGGAATGTATCTACTTAAGATAGTGAGAACCAGCAGTATCGCTCCTTTCTTTAAGGTCCTTGAAAGGGAGACAGGAAAACTCAGATTCCAAGTACTGACAACTCATAGTATTGGGGAAACATTCACTACTTCTGACAGCATAATCCTTCAGTCATTTGGCACCTGTGAACATCTGTGTGTCAGGTGGTATGAACTTGGCAGTGCAGGAGACAGTGCCCTGCCGCCATTCATTCTAGAGCACTTCTGGTAGGGAAACATGCACAGTAAATCAACAGGAAATACTTAATATCCCCGAAGGTATTAAGTGGTCTGGGAGGAAATTAAGCAGAACAAGGGGAATGGGAAGGCAGGGGAGGGTAACTGGGGAGGCCTTGTGGGCGGGGTGAGGGACAAGTCATGTGGCTGGCCTTTACCTCTTCTGTAACTTCTGCTCTTTCTCAGCTCCAACAAGTTGTTCTTTTTTATTCTATAGAAAGTATGTTAGAATGAGGTTTATTTTTTGTTGTGTTTAACAGAATAATTATACTTAATATCACTCCAGGTGTGACTGTGAAAGCCTCTAACCCATTACTGTTATTTTTTGTGGGCATATTTTTTTTAACAGCTATGATCATTATTACATTTTGTATGGTTTTTCAAAAACATAATCCTTGCTTATGTCAAAGACTTTTCCTATACTGGAGCTCATCAGATTTGGTGTTAATTACATGAAGGAAGAAATGAAGATAGAAGGCTTTTAAATGTGAGAGGAAAGTCAATTTAAGAACAAAGAAATGCAAATTAACTTGTCAATGAGCCACTTTTTAAGCCATCAGGTTGCAAAATATTTAAACGTTACATACAAGAGAGTGCAAGGGAGATCCATCTGGTAGTATTTAAATTATTTGAATCTTTCTTTTTAGACTTCTGTTTGGATGCGGTTTCAGAGCAGGGGTTAGTAAATAAGTTTTTACTTTTTTGTTGTTTTTGTTTTTGGCAGCTGGCCAGTATGGGGATCCGAACCCATGACCTTGGTGTTTTAAGGCTGCACTCTAACCAACTGAGCTAACTGGCCAGCCCAGTTTTACATTTTTTTAATTACAATTTTTATGCCTATTCAGAAGTAGACAAAGTAGCACAGTGAACCCCAGAATACCCATTATTAAATTCATTAATTATTAGGATTCTCCCACATTTTGTTCATCTATCTCTTTCCCTGTTTTTCTCCCTTTGCGGGAATATTATAAAGGAAATTGCAGGCATTGAGTCATTTTATCTGTTCAGTGTGCATCCCTGAACAGCACTGACATTTTCTTACACATCCTCTGCATCATTATTACACCTCAGAAAATCAACAGAGATTTCTTGATACCAGCTCACATGCAGTCCTTAATCAAGTTTCTTTGTTTCTCTGAAAAGTTTCTTTAAAATTTTTGCGTTGAATTTGGATTCCAACCATGTTCATGCATTAACTTTGTTATACCTCTTTTAATCTGAACCAGCCTCTGCTTACTGTTTTTATTTCTCATTCCATGAATTCTTTGCAGAAGTTATTTCCTTTTAAAATGGCGTACTAACAAGGTTTAAGGGATAAAGAACATTGGTGTCATGGTTGTGACACAGATGAAAGTGTAACCTGCAATGAGGTAGTATGTAGCAGCCACTGAAAGAGGTGGTCACTGTTATCAAACAGCAGCAAGTCTGCTTCCAAATACTTGAAAGATTAGTATTTAGGTTGTGCTCTTTATTGTCTGTCATGATTTTCTGTTCTTCCTTTCTTCTTCAGGATATTGAAAGAAAAGTTTTAATCTTTTAAGATTTTAGAGCTATTTTAGATTATCTACAGTTGTCTTAGATCAGGGCACTCACATCCACGAAAATTTAGCTATTGATTATGGGTCATATGTACTTTATACATGGATCATATATACTTAGAACCTTTTCTGTGCTGAGTCTATTTCAATATTTAGTAGATATATATGTTTCCAGCTGGAAAAAAAAAATTGACATGTGCCTTGCTTTGGATTATACTGAGATTTCAACACAGACTTAGTCTCCTGAATTGCTTTGATTTTCTTCAGCTGAAGCCTTGGGGAGCACTGAAGCCAAGGCTGTACCATACCAGAAATTTGAGGCACATCCTAATGATCTCTATGTTGAAGGACTACCAGAAAACATTCCTTTTAGAAGTCCCTCATGGTACGGAATACCAAGGCTGGAAAAAATCATTCAAGTCGGCAATCGAATCAAATTTGTTATTAAAAGGTAAGATTATAGGGCCGGCCTGGTGGCGCACTGGAGAGTGCGCCGCTTGGGAGTGCGGCGGCGCTCCCGCCGAGGGTTCGAATCCCATGTGGAGACCGGTTTCCGCTCACTGGCTGAGCGCAGTGCGGGCGCAACACCAAGGAGTGCGATCCCGTTGCCGGTCCCCAGTACGGGCGCAACACTGAGGGTTGCGATCCCGTTACCGGTCAGTAAAAAAGACAAAAAGGAAAAAAAAAAAGGTAAGACTATAATCTGCAGAAACAAATCTGATGTGCTCCCTAAGAACTGATTAATTTGATGAAGGTGGGCCTTTTGTTCCCCTCTCAATAGTACTTCCTCTTCATATTTAAAATATGAAGCATTATGTTTAGATTCATTTATTGAGCAAATGTTCATTTATTACAAGCATCAGATGTTCAAGTGTCTCCCATCCTTGGGAGACTTAATACAAAGATAAATGCAATGAAGTGTTATTGATCATTTTAGGGGGAGAAGGAGAGGGTATCACATCCAGGTTGGTTGTCCATACAGAACGGAGGAAATAATACAAGTAAGGGCAGGGAGGTGTCATAGACACTTGTGTGTTCACATAACTAACCCATTCTGTGTGGAGTGGGCGCTCAGGTGTCCGAGTGGAGGAAGGCCTTAGGGCCTCCAGATGCATTGGCAGTCATTAAAAGGTCCTAAAGCAGATTCCTTCTAAAATAAGTTGGGTTTGCATTTTAGAAAGATTATTTTGGCCTAATTTTGAAGGACAGCAGAGTGGGTAATTTAGGTACAGGGAGTAGGAACAGAAGGCCCATCTTTAATATTCACAGAAGGAATGCTGAAGGGTTAGAATCTTCCTTACTGGTTGGGGTTGTGCGTTTGTGTATATTTGTTGAGACTGAGTTATAAGGGAAAGGAAACAGGTTTAAGATGACACAGCTAGCTAATTTTTAGCTGTTTTATGGTATGGTTCACCTAAGATTTAGAGACATGAAGTTGAGCTGTTTGCGGGGGGGGAAGCAACTCTCTTGCACATTGAAACATAAAATGCCTTTGAAGATATCTAGATGGTCCCACCTGAATGTATGAAAATTGCTATTTTCAAAATAAACTGGAGTTGCAAAAATGATTTCTTTTTGCCCACTGCAAATGAAGGAAGAATGGACCATATTTTAAAATAATTGGTAATACCTAGCTGTGGGAAAGGCTTTTAAGTTGTTCCTAGAAGCTCTTTTACTAATATCAACCATATTCTACAGACCAGAACTTCTGACTCACAGTACAACTGAAGTTACTCAGCCGAGAACGAATACACCAGGTAAGAGAGTTGTGGAAGCCTTTGTAAAAGCTTAGATCAGTGCTTTTTTTTTTTTTAGCCATGGAACTCCTCTTTCATCCCTCACCTCCCAAAAGAATCTTTTGTAGAAGCTCTGTACAGGCATTCTTTGATTTATCAGTGTGAACTTAAGCAGTTTAGTGGATAACTCAAGCTTTAGATCTCACCTGTGCTGTCCAGTGGAAATAGAATGTGGGCTGCTAATGCAGCCTCGTGTGTAGCTTTATATGTTGTAGTAGCTACATTTGCGTGTTTCAGCCTGTAATCATGATAAATAAGCACAGTGACATATTTTACATTTATTTCATACATCTGTATTCTTTATTGATAATCCAATATGTATTTTAGACTTATAGCACATCTCAGATCCACCTAGCCACATTTCAGCTGCTCAGGGCTAGTAGCTGCCATATCAGACCATACACATTTAGACCTTATCTTTGTTCATTTGGACCCTGTTCTTAAAATGACAAATACTGTAATTCTAGTCTGTACACTGATACCACAGCACAGTAGGAAAGAACTAAGAAGTGAATGTTTTATTTTCCTTATTTGAGCTCCAAGAATGCCTTTCTTTCTTTCCCATCTTTCTTTTTTGTTTGCTGTTGCATAATGTCAGAAAAAGTGACCACATTTTATAGATACTCTACCACCTTGGGAACTTTGGTTTCCAAGAACCAATAAATAGCAATACACTGTTGTGTAAAGTTTGATGTTGCCAAGAAGTGAATGTTTGAAAGAATGTATGAATCTCGACTGTGCTTACATGTTCCTAAATTTGTGCTGTTAATCATTCTTGTTAATTCTAAGGTGAGCTAGTGTGCAAGTTTGAATTATGGGTGTGTCCTAAAATGCTGATCCTTCAGTTCTCTGGGTACCTGGGGGCAATTAGTAAAGGTCACCAGTATGTGAAATAGATTTTGTGTGTATCATGGTATGAAAAGTGGTTCAGAAATACTGTCCTAGGAAAATGAAACTATCCCGTGCTGGGAGTTCTTGAGTGAGAAGATATAATCAGTGCTTATTAATTCATAGGTTAACCACCTCAGCATGTTTTTGATTTAAGCAAAGAAGGTATTGGTGATAAATGGAACATTGGAAGTGACACATTCTTTGCTAAGGGAAGTAATGGGGAAAGAAGAATATTCCCGAAGGTAAATCTGAACTTGATGAATAGCCGTAGGAGTCTTCATTTCTCAAAACAAACCTCAAATTCAAGCTTTTATTAAAACAATCACTGCTTTACTAAAAAAAGCAGTTCTAACAATGACTGTAAAAACTGAGAATGCTAAACATGTACCATTGAAAGACTGTGCAGGCACCACAGAAGTTACTCCAAGGATCGGGAATGCTATTTTCAGCAGTACTTGATGTGCTGTTTTCAAGCGTAATTGAAAGGCCCAGTTATCAAAACAGAATCTCAGTTTTCCCACTCATTAACAATACTTGACTTCTACCATTCATGAAAGACCTTGGGAAAAATTTAAGGTTGTAGTTCATCATTCCAACAAAATACGTCTTGCCCTGCCAGTGGACCAGACATTAGTGTTTTGATGGGCCAATTCAAGTAGTAGACTACATTACAAAAGAATTAATCATTTGCCACCAGAGCTGTCTGCTTTAAACACACTGAGTGCAATTTGTCCTCAGTTTGGTTTAAAAAAAAAAAAAGTCACATGTAAAAAAGTTGAGGAACTATCCACGTAATTCAAGTTTGTAGGGGAAGAATGGGGACTTGGCTCTTAAGAGGAGGGGTGTGAAGATCTTCTTGCATTGGAGAACCAAATGCCAGAGAAGGATGTGTTGGATAGGGCAGAAGAGGAGGCAGGGCAGCAAGTTCACAGAAGCGACCTTGGGGAAGGAGAGTCTCAATGTCTGATAGTCATCAGATTTGGTTCATACCAGAGTTATTTCCTCTGGCTGAATGGTTGGGCTACTTTGAAATCCAGAGGGAAAAAGAAACTCATATTAAATCCTTGAGAATACTGGGTTTTATTTTAAAGAAAAGGGAATGTTATGAGAGAATTTTTTGAAGCCACCAACCTTTAGCAGTATTTTTAGAACTTCTCCAACATTTCTCACTGCCATTGTCAGCAAACACAGATACCTTACACACCTGTGTGGTTCTTCCACTCTTTCTACCTTTTCCTCTTACTCTCTTTCCCTCTCCTGTCCAATCACTCCAGTTATCTTCCATTGTCTCCAAGTCTCCATCCATTCTCTTCATCCACAGCCCTACCAAACAAGCCCTGAATACCTGTCCAAGTAGGTGACATCCTACATGTCTTTTATAACAGCTTATAGTTTTTTATGAATTTTTATGTTACATTTAAAAGGTAATGGTTGTCTAATAATGGGTAGGAAATAAACCAGATTGTAGGTGTGAGTAATGTTGAGTAACAGCTCCCTAATCCCTTTACCATTTATTTCTGATGCCTTGATTAGTGAAGTTTTGCTTTGTGTGAATTTTGAGAGGCACACATCGTTAGATAAAACATGGACTGCCTGTATACAAAGCAAATAAAAGTAAAGCTGTTCTTGCTGGATGTGGTGTGGGAGCCCGAGAGCCTTATATTGCTGGTAATGTTCCCTGATGTGCCTCCAAGGAGGTGTGTGCCGTGCACACCATTCATTATGAGCACTCTTTCATATGAACAAGTGTTTCTGTATTTACAATGTGAACTTAGATTAGAATTCTGTCTCCCTGCAGTTCTTCTGATACTTCACAAGTGCTTAACACCCAAAGTTTTTTGTTTTTAAACAAAATTGAATTAAGAGCATCACTGGAAAGAAGAGTGTCTACATTCTGGTCCCTAAATCCAGTCTGATTTGTGTCAGAACCAATAAATAACAATATTAATTAGATCTATTTTTGCTTTCCAGTCAAAGAAGATTGGAATGTCAGAATTACCAAGCTACGGAAGCAAGTGGAAGAGATTTTTAATTTGAAATTTGGTAAGCAAAATACCATGTTTATGTCTTAATTTAAAAACATAAATGAAAGGCTATGTTCTGAATGAATTATAGAAGTTCAGGACTTAAAGAAGGAAGGTCCTAGAAACTGGGTTTTAGTTTATTTCTACTACTAAACTTACTACTTAAATCAAGCAAAATACTTTTGTTTCTCTTGGATTTAGTTTTCTCATATGTCAAAATGGGAGAGGAAGGGAGGAGTTGGGCTTAATCTCAGTTCCACTGTCTGTACTTCTTATCTGGATAACACCGGTATGGCAAGTAGGTTTCATCATTTGTTTCAACTTAGATTTGTTGACAGCGGTTTCCTGGAGCGCTGTCTTGAGGATTCTGAGGAGGCTCAGCAAGAAAGAGTTTTCAGTTGATTGGGTGTATCTGTCATGGAAAAGGAAGTAAGGAGTGGGGAGTGATAGCAGTATTCCTGGGCATTCCTATTCATTATTTTAATAATCGGTATTGACATTTTGTGTCGTAGATCAGGAATCGTGAATACTCTGCTTCTGATCAGTCTAATTTAACAAGTTCTGCTTAGATGCATCACATACAGCCCTATCTTTAAATAGCAAGCTTGCATCCAGATGATAACACAAAGGCTGGGTGGATGCCATTGTTGTGTGAAATGGCCTTAGTTCATTTCTGCCCAGAGCACAGAGATCATTTTGACTAATAACATAACTATCCTTTCAATTTAAAGTGTTAAAATGTTCCACTGATAAGTACTTATTTTTTAGGCTTGTTCTTCAGATTTGCACAGTGTATTAAGCAAAATGCCTTCCATATTGAGTTCATATTGCTAGATTATAGGGAACTCGTACGTAACGTATTCAAGAATGCAAGCACAAAAATGTTTGTGTAAAATTTTGTCTTCCACAAGTTATGTTCTCTTACACTTTCAGCTCAAGCTCTTGGACTTACTGAGGCAGTAAAAGTACCATATCCTGTGTTCGAATCAAATCCCGAGTTCCTTTATGTAGAAGGCTTGCCAGAAGGAATTCCCTTTCGAAGCCCTACCTGGTTTGGAATTCCACGACTTGAAAGGATTGTCCGTGGGAGTAATAAAATCAAGTTTGTTGTTAAAAAGTAAGTTCTCAAAAAAAAGACGTGGTCATTTCTGGAATTAAAACAATAAAATTTATATTTCTATTCAAAATTTTTTTCTAGCTAGAGGTGACAGCCATGGCTTTGAAGTCCTTGATGGAAAAGCCTAACTAGCTCTGAACTACAGGCCTGCCATTGTCTGTTACCTCTGCAGATCCTTTATCCTGTACTTGGTTTTCTTCATCAGTGCAAGGAGAATAGTAATGGCTGCCTCACAGTGAGGTTCAGAGACCCTGTGATGTCTCTTAGCATTCCTAAGTATATGAATGGGAGTTTAAAACGCTGGTCTTTATCTGCTCTGTTATTCCTGGTCAATCTTGTGAGCAACTGAATATCAATGATAGTATTTCTTAGTTAAATTTCTGCAGAATTTCAGTGGTTGAAGAAACTAAACTAGTGTTGATTTTTCTTATTCATCATTTCTTATTCATTATTTTTCTTATTCACTCAGCAGATAGTCATGGGAAGGAAAGTCAGGGGTTTTTGTCCATAATGATAGAAATTATTGTTACATTACAGGATGATTCTGTGAACATTTTTATAAAAAACACTAGTCATAATTTTCACTAGCTGTGAAGTAACCATTGTACTGGTTACTATAACGTTTCTTGGTTTCCTTTCTAGACCTGAACTAGTTGTTTCCTACTTGCCTCCTGGAATGGCTAGTAAAATAAACACTAAAGGTAAGAGATTACATATACTCTTTAGTATACTTCAGTGCATTAAAACATCCTTTATCAGTGCTACTGAAATCATACTGAATCATTGGCCAATATCTTAGTGGGGCTTTTGGTTTATTTCTTTGCTTTTTAAGGTATTTTATTTAACGGACCTCTTTTTCTTTTTTTTAAACATTTCATTGAAAATTTCATGTTTGCAATCCTCCTTCATTCATGTTTCCACAGCTTTGTTGAGACTCATGGAGGATTACACTACCAGTTTAATTCTTCAGGTTTCTTTGAAAAGAGCCAAACTGTATGAATTTTAATACTCTGCTTTTATAAAGCATCCCCTTCTGTATTTTTTTTTTTTTTTTACAATATACAGAAGTACTTGTGTGCTTGCTTTACAGCATTGCAGTCTCCAAAAAGACCACGAAGCCCTGGGAGTAATTCAAAGGTTCCTGAAATTGAGGTCACTGTCGAAGGTAAGGCCATTCCTTGGCATGTTTCTGTTGATTCTTCAGTTTACTAGTTATATCAGTTCACAAGTTCTATTTTTATGAAAATGTGTTTTTTCAAAATTGGTTTTACATGTGAATAGCTACCTGTGATAAAGCTAAATTTCTGGATGTTCTTAATTTAAATTTTGAAAATGGTGGAAAACAGATAATGTAGATCATATTGTAAATAGCTATTAAGAAAATCCCTAATATGCTTTTCTTTCCTAATAATAGAGGTTTAGAGAGTAACACGTGGAATTTTTTCCTCACCTTCTTTTTTTCTGCACTTCATTTTCTCTGCTCCTTTCAGGACAGAAAATTTAGGAGTGGTTTAAATAGTGCCTTGGATTAGAGTAGTTTCTGCTACATCCTTAAATTTGGTTCCTTCTCTCCACTCCCACTGGATCTGCAGGATGCTCATCTTTTTAGGTTCACAGTGTTAAAATACTTCACACAATACTGAAGACAATCCTCAACCAACTGTTGTATGTGATATTTTCTCCCATCTCTTTATTAACGCAGAGGGAAGTAACTGCACTGTGATAGTTCTTTTTATCCCAGGTTTCACGTTTTCGAAGAGTTTGCAGTGCTGATATTAAGTGGAGCATTAGTCCCCATTTAGTTACACTTACAAAGAACCTGTATTCTTTTTTTTTTTTTTTTCCTTTTTGTCTTTTTTACTGACCGGTAACGGGATCGCAACCCTTGGTGTTGTGCCCGCACCTCGCTCAGCCAGTGAGCAGCCGGTCTGTATGTGGGATCCGAACCCTCGGCGGGAGCGCCACCGCACTTCCCAAGCGGCGCACTGTAGCAGTGCGCCACCAGGCCGGCCCCTGTATCCAGTTTTTTACTTCTCTCCTTTTGGAAAAGATCTGAGGAAAATCTCTCTTACACACAAGCTGCCACCCTTTCCTGAAGGAGCTAGTTACAAAGTGCGTGTGGTGTTGCTTTTAGAAAAGAGACACACTTCTGAGCCAGACAGACCCGGGTCTGGATCCATAAATATTTGAACAATACAAACAGTGACACTACGTAAGAGGGAGGTTAGTTCTGAGGTGATGGGATCTTCGTGGAGAGGATTCCATTTAAGTTAGACCTTGCTGGAAGAGTAGAACATCGTGTGGCCGAGACAGAGGAGGGCGGCTCCCGAAGGGCATGGAGTGAGCAAGGGTGCTGAGGGTGGAGCCTGCAGTGCGGGCGCCGCAGGAGCTCCTGCTCCAGGGAGTGCGCCTGTGCTGCTTGATCCAGCCAGGCTTGGTCACTTAGGAACTTTGACGGTGTCAGTGGCCCGAAGAAGTCTTGGGGCCAGGTGGCTCATAGCAGTTGAAGGAGCAATGACTCCCACACTGCACTAGGAGGATGGAATTAGAGGTCACAATGGAGACATAGAACAAGTTCAGAAGGAAAGGTGGGACGGCGAGATGACAAGTAGTCATGAAGTCGCATAACACGCGCTTAGGTTAAGAGGTAGAAAGAAGTTATTTTATAATACGCTGACGTGCTCTGCAAAAGCAGTAAGAGTAACACAAGACGACAGTATGTTACCTCAAGAATGGAGAGATTGCTGTCAAAGAAACCTGGTACAGTTATAGAGTATCTCATTTTAAAACATTCTAGATATTAGGAGGCTAAAGACATAGAGGGGACAGCAGCCAACAAGGTGACTCCAATGTCTAACTTTTCCCCCCACTTCTAACTCTAGTATAAAGATTCATTATATATATATTGGTGTCCTGATCTCAAATAAATTAATCTGTGGATATTAAATATTAAAGTTGGGAAAAAATGAAGCAGCCAGTTAATATACACCATGTTTATAGGCACTATCAGTACAGTCTGAGAAACATATGTCTCAAAAACAGATTTGTTCATAATAGTCAGTTGGCACACTAGGGATATACTTCTGGTAGCAGTTCTTACCTGTATTTTTAAACTTTTCATCGATCCTGTTAAAGCAAAGCTTACTTAATGTAAACTCTTTGTTATCAATGAGATGTTAGGTAAATAGAGGAATGAAGGGCCAGTATGATGAGTTAAAATGAGTAGGGCTTAAGAAGTAAGGTTACCAGGCACAACTTTAGGATTCTGTTCTACTCCAGCCAGCAGTGATTTTACAAATATGGAGATGCCTGTTTTTCTGAAGGTAGGCTTTGTCTGATGTTGGTTCAGTAGCTAAAAGATGGTAAGACTGGCTTCTCTGTGATTCTCTTGGCCTTTGATTCGTGGGTGCATGGTGACTGATGGAGCTCTTGTCGTCATGTCTGCCTTCAAGCAGGACATACATAGGTGGAGAAGATGGAGCATCAGCCCTGCCTATACCCTTTGTCATAAATAGAAAGAAGCCTTTCCAGAATCTCCTAGCAGATTTTTGCTTAAATCTTTTGGTTTAAAAAAATAAGAAAAGATTTTGAAATAAGAAAATAAGCCACAGGCTGTAAGTGATTAGACCCAAATGATGGATTCAAGTGGATTGGATTCAAATCTGAACTCTACCACTTAGGAAAATTACTTAAACTCTCTCTTCTTCAGTTTGCACATCTATAAAATGGGAATAGGAATAGTATTTAACTCATGGATTTATAAAGATTGAGGTTTTATTCACATACCATAAAATTTATTATTTTAAAATACACAGTTCAGTGGTGTTTGGTATATTGATAATGTTGTATTGTCATCACCATTAATTCCAGAACATTTTCATGACCCAGAAAGAAAACTCATACCCATTAACAGACACTCCCCACCTCCCTCTCTGAGCAACCACTGGCGATGACTAATTTATTTTTGGTCTGTTTGGGACATTTCATGTAAATAGAATCAGTTTGTGGCCCTCATGATATAAATTCATACAATGCATGGTCCCTTGTGTCTGGCTTCCTTCATTTAGCATCATGTTCTCAAGGTTCATCTGTGCTGTGAATGTACCAGTGCTTCATTCTCCCTCCCCCCCAATTTTTAAGAAAATTGTGGCTAAATACATATAACGTTAATTTTACCATTTTAACCCTTTGTAAGTATACATTTCTGTGGCATTAAGCAGATTCACATTGTTGTGCAGCCATCACCACCATCCATCTCCAGAACTTCTCATTTTTCCCAGCTGAAACTCTACCCGTTAAATACTAATTCCTCATTTATTTTCCTGCTTCCCTTTGCCATGGCAGCCACCTTTTGGTTATTGTGAATAATGCTTCTATGAGCTCAGGTGTACAAAGATCTATTCTAGTCCCTGCTTTCAGTTGTTTTGAGTATGTACCCAGAAGTGGAATTGCTGGATCATTTGGTAATTATTTGCTTAACTTTCTGAGAAACCATCATAACATTTTCCACAGCAACTATACCATTTCACAGTCCCACAAGCAGTGCACAAGGGTTCCAATATCTGCATATCCTCACCAATATTTGTTATTTTCTGTTCGGGTTTTTTGTTTGTTTTTTTAAATAACAGCCATACTGGTGATGGGCATCCATTCCTTCTTATTGATAAATAACACTTTATTTTATGGATATTCCACGTTTTGTTTATCTGTGCATACTTTAGGCAGTAGGAGTTGTCTTTAGGTTGGGCAGTAAGCTCATTTATCACACCAGATAAATGTTTGGTTCATTTCTACTTTTTAGCTGTTATGAATAATGCTGACATGAACATTCGTGAATGAGTTTTGCGTGGGCATATTTTTAAGTTCTATGTTTACCTTTTTGAGGATTTGATTATTTAATACCAAATATGTTAACCAGAGCATTTTCATATAAAAATGCAAATTTTTAGCTTTTCTTGCTCTGTAGTGGAGTAAGCACAGGAGACAAGATAAGAGTTGTCTTTAGGTTGGGTAGTAAAACCATTTGTCCTACCAGAGCAATCTGTTTCTATGTTGAAAAAAAAAAATACTGTGTTAGGGTTAAATCCCCACTCCATGCATTTATACTTTACTTTGTATTTTTGGTTTTTGATTCAAAAGAAAAGGATTAAGGTCAGTGATGGGTTAATGAGGAATAGTTCTGACCTGCCTTCACATCAGCAGTGAGTAGCTTTATATTGCCAAACCGGTGTGGTAAGTGAAGGACTGTTGTCCTGCAGTAGACAAAGCTTCCTTTTAGCTTTATGTTGCCTAACCGGTGCTATAAATGAATTCTGAATCTAATTTACATTAGTTAAAATGTTATAAAATAGTCGTTAGTATTTTAAGGTGCTTTAAGTAGCCAAAAGGGGTGTCCAAGTTCAGGACATTTTTGTCAAAAGTTCAGCGATAGGAGGAATGTATTTTATTTGTACCTTATTAATATTCTGTTTTAAATTATGTACCTATTTATAAGTGAATATTCTCATTACTTTTAACATGAAATCTATTAGGTATAATTTTTTTTCCTTTGTCTTTGTGTTTCCTTCGTGTCTGAATAGGTATAATTTTTATGCAGTAGAATGCACCTGTCTTAACTGTATTGAGTTTTGTATCCTTGCAGTACCACTTAAGTCAACACATAGGACCTCTCCACGCCCCCCAGAAAGTTCCCATGCTCCTCAGCAGTCAGTCCTGCCCACCCAAGGCCACAGGCAAGCATCGATGTGCCTTTTGTCACCAGAGATTACTTTTGCCAGTTCTAGAATTTCATATAAATGGGATCGTGGTGGATGTACTCTTCTTATGCTTGGCTTTTTTTGTTCAACATAATATTTTTAGGTATATCCTTGTTAAGTATTTCAATATATCCTTTTATTACTGAATATTCTCCCATTGTGTGCATTCCTCACATTTTGTTAATATGAATACCTTCACTTGTTGATAGACATTTACATGTATTTCCAATCTTTCCGGCACATGTTTGCCTTCTCTGGGGTGGATTTAGGAGCAGAATTTGCTGGGGTTTTGACTTTCTAGGAAACTGCTCAACAGTTTCCACAGTGCTTGTACAGTTTTACATTCCTACCAGGAATGTGTGAGAGTTTCAATGGCTGTGCGTCCTCATGGTACTCAGTACTGCTATTCTTTTTAATTTAACCATGCTAGTGGGTACATAGTGTTACCTCACTTAAGAATAAACCAGAAGGGCTGGCCCGTGGCTCACTTGGGGGAGTGTGGTGCTGACAACACCAAGTCAAGGGTTAAGATCCCCTTACTGGTCATCTTTTTTTTTTTTTTTAAAAAAAAAAAAAAAGATGACCAGTAAAAAAAAAAAAAAAGATGACCAGTAAAAAAAAAAAAAAAGATGACCAGTAAAAAAAAAAAAAAAGATGACCAGTAAAAAAAAAAAAAAAGATGACCAGTAAAAAAAAAAAAAAAGATGACCAGTAAAAAAAAAAAAAAAGATGACCAGTAAAAAAAAAAAAAATTGGTTTTTTGTTTTTTTTTTTTTTTTTTTTTTTTTTTTTTTTTTTTTTACTGGTCATCTTTTTAAAAAAAACAAACATATAAGCCAGAATGCCAATTTATTAATTTAGTGTAAGAACTAGATCTTTCCATCAGCTCAATTGTGTCATCCAGTCACTAGTTTCTTTCTGTCTTGCCCACTTGTTATTAAAAGGTTGCTTTATGAGCTTGGGGTATAAGCAGGACTTTAATTGGGTAACCTTAGTGGCCTATTATGGAACTTTGGTTATGGACTATGTTGATTTCCTCTGTGCAGATATACCCACCAGATAAACCAGGCTGCGAGAGCCAACTGTTCCAGACATACTTACTTTAACTACTGTACTGTCTAAGGAAGCTTTATTTATGGGGTTTGTAATTATTTAAAACTAGAGTGTGGAGTCTTGACATTTTATGGGGAGTGGGTGTGCTATGTATTTGCCATCCCTTGCTCAGATCTAAGAATTTATGAAATTCTTGTCCACAAGTGTGTTAGAGAGTGTGTTGAGGAGCAAGACTCTGAAGGTTGGTATCCCACCAGCTCCACCACTTATCCCCAAGTTACATACCCCCATGACTCAGCTTCTCCTTGGGCAAAGTAGAGATGGTAGCAATGCCTATGAAGAGTAAAATAATACACATAGTTTGCTTGGTACAGTGGCCAGTAGACACTGCTAGCTATTAATAGTATTCTGCAAAACTTGCTCATCAAGCAGAAGCCGTTTATGTGAGGATGGGCATAGGAAGTAGAGAACTCAGTAGAAAGGTAATGGAGGTGAAAGCCCAGAGCCTGTACAAACATCTCCACATGTTGGGAAATTTGAAGTTTTGGGATGTATTCTAAGAATGGTAGGGTTCTACTCCAAAGATTTAGATGAAACTTAATTTCTCTTTATTTTTACATTATTTTGGCTCTATATATATATATATTTTTTTTTTTTGAAAATTTTTTTTAAAAGGATGACCGGTAAGGGGATCTCAACCCTTGGCTTGGTGTTATCAACACCACGCTCAGCCAGTGAGCTAACCGGCCATCCCTACATGGGATCCGAACCCGGGGCCTTGGTGTTATCAGCACCGCACTCTCCCGAGTGAGCCACCGGGCCAGCCCTGGCTCTATATTTAAATAGCTTACTTTGGATTAAAATGATAAGCTTATTGTTTAAGCATTAGATGTTCTTACATAAGAAAAATCAAGGTTAAGGGTACCTCAGAAAGTTCATGGAAAGATTTGTATTATCTTTCAATTCTCTTTTTCCAGGAACTTTCATATCCTCATATGAGTGACTGGAACTACACATTTTAATTTAATTGAAAACAACTAATAAACTTTAACATTACTTTTAAGTTGCATTAGGAATTCAAAGAAAAGCCTATGTCAGAGCCACTGGAGAATCCAAAGGAAAGCTTCATAGTGGATATACTGATACAAACATAAGAAACAAAAAAATCAGATGTCCCCAAAAGGGCATGATGTGGCATTAATAAATTTCAGGTATTTCACATCAGCCAGAAAGCTGATTGTCTTTTGGGGGGACATACAATATTGTAGGGAAGGAAATAGAATGGATGGAGGTGGTGGAACTAGCAGGAATTTCATTTGAACTTATCTTTGTTTTGTAGCACAGGCTGGACTTTAAGAGTGTGTCCTGGGCTGGCCAGTTAGCTCAGTTGGTTAGCACACAGTCTTATAACACCAAGGTCACGGGTTTGGGTCCCCGTACCAGCCAGCCAGCAAAAAAAAAAAAAGTGTGTCTTAGAGAAGCCACATGAAGTACTTAAGCATAATTAAATGGGTCAATTGTGATTTTCTTTTATTCCTCTTTAGGTCCTAATAACAACAGTCCTCAAACCTCAACTGTTCGAACCCCTACCCAGACTAATGGTTCTAATGTTCCCTTCAAGCCTCGAGGGAGAGAATTTTCCTTTGGTAAATATGCATTTTATTTTTCTCGATTTCATCATTTTAAATCAAAGGATTTAAAAATGCTTTATATTTTAGCAGGTGAATTATTTTTTGTTTGGTAAGTCAATATATATCAGAGATTAAAGGCAAAGACTGTAGAGCCAGACTGCCTGAGTTGAGATGGGATGCTGCTACTTTCTAACTCTGTTACCTTTGGCAAGCTAACTCTCTATGCCTCAGTTTCCTTGTGTGCAAAATAGGGATAACATTGCTTTCTGTGTCAGGGTTATTATGTAAGTTATAAATACTATCATTTATAAATACTTAGATCCATAATTTGGGAGGAGGTTTCATTTGTCTTTCATTTATTTCAGTATGTGTTATTTATTTGTAGCCAAATTTATTTATTTATATTATAAATTTACATAAATTTATAAATTTTTAAATAAATTTATTTATTTTAATTTATATTCTATAAGTTTATAATATATGAATATAATTTATAAATATATAAATTTATTTTTATTATATTAGTAATATAATAAAACAGAGACCAGGATTGGAATAGATGCCAAGACATAACAGTGTTAAAAGCTTATGCATTTTTAATTTTGTACTTCTTAAAGATGTACAATAAAATGAAAAATTCCTGCCTGTGAATGTATATTGGTAAATTTTACATTTATCTTGTGTTTTATATTCAGAGGCCTGGAATGCCAAAATCACGGACCTAAAACAGAAAGTTGAAAATCTTTTCAATGAAAAATGCGGTGAGTTTATTTTGAAACATTATTATTGAACTATAAGGTAGCATTTCATAAGTAGATAGAAGGGAGCAGAGTAAAATATTTAACATTTAAGTATTACTATCATTGTAAATGCATGGGTTTTTTAGACTTGAATTTCATAATTTCTCCCACTTTTTCCATGTTTTGTTTTGCCCTGCGTGTGTTTTACAGGCGAAGCTCTTGGCCTTAAACAGGCTGTGAAAGTGCCATTTGCATTATTTGAATCTTTCCCAGAAGATTTTTATGTGGAAGGCCTACCTGAGGGTGTGCCATTCCGAAGACCATCCACTTTCGGCATTCCGAGGCTGGAGAAGATACTCAGAAACAAGGCCAAAATTAAGTTCATTATTAAAAAGTAAGGAACTTAGATGAAACAGGATTGGCCATGAGCTGATACTGTTTGACGCTGGGAGATGGTCATGGGTTCATGTTTGTGGCAGGGTTAGTTAGCTTTCAAAAATGCTCAAGCTGTGCTTTTGCAAAAGTTTTAAATTCTCCTTAATCAATTGAAAGAAGGTAAGGAGGGCTGTAGCGTGTCATAGAGATAACGTCATGGTACTGAATCTACCCACAGTCATACCTTTACTGGTCAGTGTCTCTGGAATCTATGCAGTGGTTCAGTTTTCCAACGGCTTTTTATTTCTCCAACTTACAGAATATTTTAAATTTCTCCTATATTTGCTTAAACATCTAATAGAACACAATTGAAAGAGATGGGGATAACTGGAAATTCAAAATGTATACTGATTCTCAAAATTAGTTTCAAAATTAATTTGAAATTAATTTTCGGTTTCATTTAGTTGGTCTAAGACTTACTTTTGAGTCACCCAAGAATGCTGTCAAATAATAAAAGCTGACATTGCCAAGCATAATGACCACCTTTTGTACTTTGGGCTAGATCTGTAGAGGTTTGGCAGGAGCAAAGGCCTCTGCCTCTGCTTTCTGTGCAAGAGACTCGTGATCACGTTTTCACAGCCCAACTTGGGTTTCCATGCTAAGTAAATAGGATTTCTGTGGCCATTCTCAAGTCTGGCACTGATACTTTTAAGAATCTGTTCTAACCATGTGAAGAAGATGCCAGTAAAACTAATACAGGAAATGGGGGAGAGGGTTAAGAGAGGGATGGGATGGATGTTAAAATCACAATCATGATTAGTCTTTTTGGATATGTTCCTTTAGAAAATTATATTATTTCTGTTTTTCTATTATTAAGAATTGAGTATATATTTACAGAGAGTTACTGGTTTTTAAATCTTCTACTTGTTTAATTTTTAATGTTTGAGTTTTACTGTTGGATTAGCACACATTTTTTCTCTTTTGTTGTTTGTAGGCCTGAAATGTTTGAGACGGCAATTAAGGAGAGCACCTCCTCTAAGAGCCCTCCAAGTGAGTGTCCTTGCTGTAGAAAACTTGCTGTTAGAAATGCATTTTGTAGCAATTGTTTAAAGAAAAGCTGTTGAGATAAAACCAGGAAAGCTCATTGAAAATTGGGGTTTTGACTATATTACAGTTTTTAGTTCTTTAGTAAATGAGTGCCTCTAAGCATCACCAGGGAGTGAAAAACACAGCCTTTCAGGAAGCTTAATATCTTATTGGAATAAAATGTAATATGAAAAAAAAAACAACCCTGAATAAGGTTGGGTTAAGGTATTGTCTCGTTTAGCCTGCACTGTTAAAACATTGGTTCTTGATTATTAAAGATTTTGACCATGGTTTCGACAAACTCTCATCTTAAGTTTCTGTTTTAAGGAAAAATAAATTCATCACCCAATGTTAATACTACTGCATCAGGTGTTGAAGATCTTAACATCATTCAGGTGACAATTCCAGGTATGATTTCTCAGTTTTTATCATAGTTTATGGGGTCTCTTCAGATTTTTTCTGACTTTCCCAGCTTAGATTCCTGGGATTTGCTCCAGTCATTCAGGGACATTGGATATACTTACATGTTGCCACATGCCTTCCCCAGCTCCTACAAAAATTTTTATTTTTTTCTTCTTTTTCCTTTTTCGGTGGCTGGCCTATATAGGGATCTGAACCCATGACCTTGGTATAATAAGGCTGCATTCTAACCAACTGAGCTAACCAGCCAGCCCCATGCAAAAATTGTTAACCAAAAACCTCATTCTGTCAGTTTATCTCTAAACAGCTCTCAGCAGTTATTACATTTGGCATGAGCTAAAACCTGTTAACCACTCAAATGTCTAGTAACTTATAACAGGAATAAGGTTGTAGCACTTTGTTTGGTGTTATAATTTTTAACAATTTCAAACTCAGTTCAAAATGCTTAAATACTCCAAAAAACATTACCCAGAGCTCCTAAAAATTTAGCAGGAATTAAAAGTGTATTATTAAGTTTTTGGCTTTCTCTTAACTATTTTAGACGATGATAATGAAAGACTGTCAAAAGTTGAAAAAGCTAGACAGCTAAGAGAACAAGTGAATGACCTCTTCAGTCGAAAATTTGGTAAGTATTGCATTTGCAAAGTACAGTTTGTATTATACAGGGGTATTGTGTTTTAATGAGATCTTTTTAGTAGATGATGGTCTGGTAGTTGCAATCATCCCATAAAAAAGGAACTAAAATTTAAAAGTAAGTGTTTTCTTTTTGCTAAGTTTTTTTAATAAAACATTAAATGGGTTATACTATTGATGGTCAGTATCTAAGTTAATAAAATTAAGATTCATGTTTAAGTTTGCTTGAAGTGTACAGTGACCTTAGTTAACAACAGAGATGGTCTGTAAAATAAATGTTGATTTTGTTTTTTAAATACTTCTTAAAGTAATGAGTTAATCTGTACTTTTATGCTGTTTGTCTGATTATAGGTGAAGCTATTGGGATGGGTTTTCCCGTGAAAGTTCCCTACAGGAAAATCACAATCAACCCTGGCTGTGTGGTGGTTGATGGCATGCCCCCTGGGATATCATTCAAAGCCCCTAGTTACCTGGAAATTAGCTCCATGAGAAGGATCTTAGATTCTGCTGAGTTTATCAAATTCACAGTCATTAGGTAAGTGAGGGTTTCCTGCTTAGTTACAAGAACAGATCTGAAGATTGTGAAGCTAAGTCATCTTCCAAAATGCAGTCATATGTAGGAATAGAATCAAGTTTACTATGTATTGAAACTAACAAACAAGGATAACTGTTTAGTTATTATAACATTAGATTCTCTCCTACTTAATTCTCTAGTTTTTAGGGCAGGCAGTTGGCAAACCATGGCCTGTGGACCAAATCCATGCAGCCTGCCACCTATTTTTATAGTCTTATTGAAACACAGTTACATCCAGTTGCTTATCTAATACATCATATTATTTGTGGCTGCATTCTCATTAAAATGGTAAAGTTCAGTAGTGGAAACAGAGTATGATCTGCAAAGCCAAAAGTATTTACTATCTAGCACTTTACAAAAACATTTTGCCAACCTCTGTGTTAAGGATCTCATCTTGGGCATCAGGTCAGAAAGGGATTTGATCCCAAGTCAGCCATTTGTTAGCCAGGTCACTTCTGTTTCCTTGTCTGTAAAATGAAGATGACAAGGTAAGTGAGATGTCAGAGTAAGTGACAACTGCCTAAGCAGAAATCCCAAGTTATCTTTACTCTTCTCTTCCAGCCCTCAGAAATCTAGCTGTCACTAAGTCTACCCAATCAGTTCATTATCTTGTTCCCACTGACTAGTACAAATCCCTTAGGATTGCCACCCACAAATCTCTAATGTATTGCCCTCTTGAGGCTTTTCTCATCCACTCGTCTTCCAACCCCCCTTTTCCTAAAAAATTCCGTATTTGTGTCCCACTTAAACAATGGCCATTCTCTATACCATTCCCAGGGGTCAGGCAAACGGCCCGTTCCCATTTGCTCATTTAACTGGAACTACTTTATTTCCTTCTCTGTGTTCCTTTTTTTGTTTTCCCTCGATCTTTAGTGTAAAATTCTCTAACAATGTTCCATATTAGTTATTCATATATATCTGTTTTTCCCATAAGATTATAAAGTAGTGGATATTTCTCATGTAGTACGTAAGTGACATGGGTTAAATATCAGTTGAATAGACAAATCTATATGAAAATTCTTGTAGAGTAAAAATAAACTTGTATTTATACAATTTGTTTCTCTCTTTAGACCATTTCCAGGACTTGTGATTAATAACCGTGAGTATTTCATGAAGTCTTTTTTAATCTGGTGTCTGAGGATGTGTGCGCGCATGCACGTACTTAACTCGCAGAGTGTGATGTAGTGCTTCACCTGTCACCAACCACGCATAGTGATGGTTGTTTTAGCACCAGGCACTTCCTATATGAAAAATCCGGCAAGTTGCTTTACTTTTCTTATCCTCAGTTTACTTAATCATAAAATGGTAATAATAGTACCTATTTTGGGGGGTTTTAGAGCATTTTAAATGACTCACTATACATAAAGCATCTAAAAAGGGTCAGCAAGCTCCTATGTTTGTGAATAAGGTTTTATTGGAACATCCATTCATTTATGGCAGAATTGAAAAGTTGCAACAGAGATTATGTGACCTGTAATATTTACTAATATTTACTAACTGGCTCTGAAAAGAAAAGGTTTGCAGACCCCTAATCTAGGACAGTGTCTGGCCTATAGTATAAGTATATGCTCAACAAATACAAATACAGGTGTTATACCTGCCCCATGCTGTTCCTTTCTGCTTCACACTTTTGACCCTGTTCTTTGGCCTTCATTCACTCTTTGGTGTCATGGATTTATATATGTGTCTTCTGTCCCCAAGTTTTGAGTTTCACGTTATCGTAAAATTTATTTATTTGGGGCCAGCCCGTGGCTCACTTGGGAGAGTGTGGTGCTGATAACACCAAGGCCACAGATTTGGATCCCTGTATAGGGATGGCCAGTTAGCTCACTTGGGAGAGTGTGGTGCTGGCAATACCAAGTCTCAAGGGTTAAGATCCCCTTATGGTCATCTTTAAAAAAAAAAAAAATAGAAAAATTATTTATTTGCTTGTACCACAGACCATGAGTTCATTTTTTTTAGATTCTGTTTTTAATATACCTTCTATCTTGTAAAGTATGTTAGTATCTGGTGATGTCAATAATTAAAAAGAAACATACATTGCTTCATAGAGTTTGAATCATCTTTGTGACATTCACTTCCTTAACCACACTAGAGAACTTTATCATTTAAAGAAATCCCATGATAGCTTCCAAAGAACATTAGGGGCTGGCTAGTTAGCTCAGTTGGTTAGGGTGTCATGCTGACAACACCAATGTCCAGCGTTCTATCCCTATACCAGCCAGCTGCAAAAAAAAAAAAAAAAAAAAAAAAATTTTAAGCCTATCTGCCCCTAATTTTATGTTTAAAATGTTCGCTGTTGTTCTCATCCTTGTGCAGTAGTCTGTAATACAGTTTTATAGTAACTACTATGAATTAGTGATTTTGATGGGATATTCCAGAACTCTTTAATGTTTGTTCCCTTTTTGTCATAAGGAAAATAGTACCTGTTATGGCGAAGTTGGAGCATCAGACTAGCGAATGTATGTAAAAATGCTTTTCAGATGTAACCACATGTCATTAGATTATTATTTAAACTAATCTGCTTTATTTTCAGAATTGGTTGATCAGAATGAGTCAGAAGGCCCAGTGATACAAGGTAAGTGAAGCATGGTAAAACATAGAAATATTCCCATTTGTGTGATAGAACAGATCACATAAAATTGTGTGTCCTCACATGCTTACATTTGCCTACCTTTAAGGGTGTGGGTAACACAGCACACACACATTTAGTCTGTGTTTCTTTGACTCCTGTGTTTGAAAGCCTGTGTAATCACATACTCAAATTATGTGTCGACTGAGAACTTGGGGTCACAGACCACTTGAACCATTGTCCCAGGCTAAGCATAACATCAGGAACCCCAAGGTTTCTGGATGAAATGTCAGAGTAAGAAGGTCATCTTTTTAACTTTACTTTCTATGCCATCTGTCTCTAATGATTGCTGTAAATTAGTGAGCCACATTGTGTTGTGTAGAAAAGTGTATTTTGTATTTAAGAATTCCTTAAAATCAAGTGGAATGGCCTGCCACTGTGATTCATTGAAAGTAATGAAGGGCTTTTATTAAAAGGGAGTCCACAGAAGAACGGGATAAAAGATGTAGAGGAACTTCTTGCTTTCAAGGTATAGAGCTGTGTTAAGATTATTATGTAAGACTTCAGTTGTATATGCCAATGTATTAACACATTTCAGAAAAGTAATGTTTTTGTTCGTTTTGGCGGCTGGCCAGTATGACCTTAGTGTTACAAGGATGTGCTCTAAACTGAGCTACCTGCCAGCCCCAGAAAAGTTAAAAATTTGGAAGTACAGTTGAATAATTGTGTGTTTAATCTTAAGACACTGTGGCTGTTGTTTCACCTTAGATTTACGCTATGTGTACAAAGTCTGGAGAGCTTCCTCCCCTCTTCCTCATTCCAGGTTCTTTAAATCATTTAAAGCAACTTTTGGACACTATCAAAATAGATTTTTATATGTTTCTCTGTAGAATCAGCTGAGCCAAGCCAGTTGGAGGTTCCAGCGACAGAAGGTAAAAGTAGTCTGGTGGTGAAAATCATAAGTTCCTTAAGACTATTAGGACAAAGGATTAATTGTCTTTTCAAAACTGTTTAACCAGAAGTGTGTGGTGGTTTTGTTCTTTTGTTTTTTTGTTTCTGGATGTATTGCATTTGTAGTTTATGCTGAGAAACTTTGTGTTCAGTGATGACTCATGGCTTTTTTTTTTTGTTCCATTTTCTCAAATGAGTCTTGATGAATTCTAAAACAGTTAAATGACTAGTGTATAACCCAGAAAGTGCATGTCCTTCAAGTACATAGAAATAATAATATGTTTGTTACTTTGAAAACATACGTAACCACATTTAGAATTTATTGCTAAAGAAACATTGTTGCCTCTGGAAATATTATTTTTTATGTCTTGTAATTCTTATGAAATCATATCTTAGTAAATAGTGTGGTGTGAATGGATTTATAATTGAACAAGTTTGAACTAATCGTGTAATTAATTGGTACCCTTTTGTTTCTCTTGATAGAAATAAAAGAGACTGATGGAAGCTCTCAGATCAAGCAAGAACCAGACCCCACGTGGTAGACCTGCTCCCTCCTAGGGTAAATTCGCATCTGTGTCCAGGGTGCCATGTAGTGTCCAGGGTGCCATGTAGTGTCCTTCTCAGCCCACCTGCATGCTCATAAGCTGATGTGGCTTCCCCGCTGTCGCTATGAGTTGGTGGTCCTGCCTTCAGGGAATGCAGGGTCCAAGTATACACCTTCTGGATGGTTTTGAGCTAGAAGACTCAAGCAGAGAGACTTTCCTTGAGTTAATATATGTCCCTCAGTTAAAAATGTGAAAGCACTTTTGCCTTAAAAGGAAAATGTTTCTAATTATAAGTTAAACCTTGTCCTCACTGTGGGATTCACTGTGAATCAGTGTCATTAGACTGGACTTTTTTTCCATAGTAACAATAATATTTGCAGAGTGTGACTGAATTGCAAATTCATTGTTTGTCTTGCATAATTGAGTTATAAATCTGATCCTATAATTTCAGATTTCTTAAAGTTGGCCAGGTTATTAATAGGAGGGGTAACTCTAGACCGCGAGTCAGAAAAACTTGATTCTCGTGTCCTCATGAACCTCCCTTAGCCTCTGCTGTGTAATGTTTCCATGATAGTTATGGGATACAGCTTGATTAGTTGGCTCTAATCTATTCCTTGACAGTGGATCTTTTTATCCAGAGGCTTTTGTTGTAATGGAATTTGCCTTACACTGTCAAGTCATGGACTTTTAAGTTTCAGATCACTTTTTCAGTGCATTTAAATCTAAGTAATTGTTATCAAAAACTGCAAATTTAGTTGTGATATTCGTTGATGTTAAATTCCTGTAATCAGATTAACCTGTTTGCTTGCTTGTTTGTTTTCTCTCCTGCTTTAGCTTAAAGTATCAGTGGTTGAGAAGAGCTTTTTGGACCTGTTACCACCCCAAGCTGTGTAATATACTTGTATAACAGAAATACCTTCTATACAAACCTTTTTTTCTACTTTTAGATAGAAATGTCTACTTTTTCAGCAGTTCTGTGAATTGAATTAAAGAGCAGAGTGACTGTAGATGTGGAATGGCTGGTTTACTTTGGAATGTATTATAAAGATTTTACAGCAATGCTGGAAAAATGACAGGGAAAACGACAGGGATGAATCTCATCGGATTTTTTACATATTCAGCAGAGCCTTCAGCTGTGGTGTTTATTTTCCAATCAAGTGAAGATATCTCCTGCTGGAACATCTCAGCTTCTGCAGTGGAGAAAATTCCTGTGATAGTTCAGTTCTTTAGGTTTTCTATTTGAAAAATCATTTAAATGATCCTTTGTTCACAGCTCTCCTTAATGACTGAGTGAACAATTAGTATCTGTATATTTGACTAAACCTTTTCCTAAGCTATCTATCATGATTCATATGTTTTTTATCATAATTAAAAGAAAAACCCTCTGGATCACCTAACAGTCAGAGGTCAGTATCTCAGCGTGTGGATTATAGGCGAAATACAGAGAACCTGTACCACTTTTACTTTTCGTCCAAATAAAATGCACGGTGTACCAGAAGTTGAAGATCAGGTATGAGTACTTGGGCACGCTAGACGACACTAAAGCCCCTCAGTCACGTATACGACCTGTCATGTTGTGGAATTCTTTGGCACATGTACCAGCTTGGATCAGGCTCGAGGGGTTGTCATTGCCTGCACCATTTCCTAATTCTACTTGTCACATTGAGGCCCCAGTGTGGAGAGTGATGGGTCGGTAAGCTGATTATGCACCCTCTGATGTTCTGCGCCATTTTAGGAGAATCTTACATGTGTTGAGATTTCGCAAACAATTAATTGTAAAATAACCAGCTGTATGAAAAGCTGGAGTATGTGATGACATAGAATTTTCATTTCCTCTCTCACAATATTCACAATGGAGAGTTATATTACATGGTAGCAGAAATAGGCATTTTTATGTGTTGCTTATATTTTACCTCAAATTAAATTGTAGATATAGGGTAATAAATAAAATCCATCCATGCCTTTCACACACTAATTCATTTCTGTCGAAGGTGTTTTCATGACTATGTCTGGGGAAACTTGCGGGTGGCTCGGTGGTAGGTGGAATGCACATGAGGGTGCTGGGGCCCTGCTCGGAGCCTGCAGGGAGGGCCTCCTGGGCCGGAGCCCCACCTTGCTGTCTGTGACGTGCCACCTGCGGGGTGGAAAGCAACTTGATGTGCTAACTTTTTAAAAGGTTTAAGGAGTGCTCCTGTCCCATCCTGCATCTCCTCTAAACTAAACTATAGTGATTTTTAAGGTCAAACCCTCTCCCCAGATAGAGCATACACATAATCTCCCACCTAAAAATCACACACGGCTGTAGATTTCTTCTGCTCTCTCAGCATAGCCCCTTGCCCTGCTGGCATGTGCTCAGGGAAAGTACATCTCCTTTGATTATTAATCTTTCAGCCGACATTACGGGGAGACAGCTGCTCCAGCAGTAGAATCTCCTGGTTCCTTTCATGTGTTCTTAAAAGGTGCTCTGCCGGGCCGCCCTTAGCCACACTTCCCAGCCTGACTCTGGAGGGTCGGAGCCATCCCAGGACTGCTTTTTAAAAGGAGTCCAGCCCCTTCTATAACACTTTATTCCACTTTTGTTTTAACACGAATTTAACACAGGCTTACCAAGGAGGTCTATTTTTCTATCCATTATAAGAATTCTGTGTGTGTATACAGGTATATGCATTTTTTACTTTATATATGCCCACAAATACACATTTGTTAAAAAGCATTTATTTAAAATGGTCTCAAGTCTGTCAAGTGGATTGGTTTATTATTCTGGAAAACACTGTAGACTCAGACTGCTATGTGGTCCTCATGAAAACTTTGTAAAGACTTAAGGAATGCGCTCCTGTCCCCTCCTGCCTGTCCTCCAAACTAAGGCCCAGTTCCTTCAAGACACACTGAGGGAAAACTGCAGAAGCCCGGCGCGGCAGCTGTCGCTGCGTCTGTCTGTGGGAGGGTGTGCAAGTGGAGTCGGTTCTTACTAGCTCCTCTTGAAGCTTTAACGTGTTGTGTTCTCCACTTCCCACAGTTGCGTGTCTCTTAGTAAAGCTTCCCACAGAACAGCATCGTTTCCTGGCGGGACGACTGCTTTACCTAATTGCCTCCTTACCAGCAATGGCAAAATTAGCCCTGGGTCAGGGCCATGGGCATGTTTAACGAGTAGCAGTGAGGCCCTGGTTGGCTAAGTCAGAGCCCAGTAACAGTCTACGAGAGGACCCAGCTACCTACTATGATGAATAAGCAGCACATTTATAAAAGGTGCTGCATAAATAGCATGGTTCTTTGGGAGATGGGAAGGGAGAATTAAACTTGCCCACTAATACATTAGTAAAGTCTGGATTGAAAACCAAAATACAGGGGCCAGCCTGTGGCTCACTCGGGAGAGTGCGGTGCTGATAACACCAAGGCCACAGGTTCAGATCCCATATAGGGATGGTCGGTTTGCTCACTCGGGAGAGCGTGGTGCTGACAACACCAAGTCAAGGGTTAAGATCCCCTTACCGGTCATCTTTAAAAAATAAAAAAAAGAAAACCAAAATACAGTTCAAGTAGGTCTCTTCAGTAAATCTAATGCACTTACTGTTTCTGAAGCAACTTCCTGATTCCAAAATGATTCAAGGTCAACAATTACTTTACCAGGTAATATGGCAGAGTGACTGTAGAGCAAAGGCTTTGTGACCAAATCTAAACCCCCCTTCTGGACAACTGTTACCTTAAGTTAATTTCCATCAGAAAAACAGTAAAACCAAAAAAATGTCTACATCCCAGGACTGTATGAATTAAGTCCTGCCAGTAGAGTTGTACTAAGTGCTCACTCCTGTTGCAAGCTCTGGATCTTCAGAACAAAATGGAAACCACTTTGGTCCTGTAGCAGCCTCTGCCATTGGACCCGCAGTGCAGCTGGAGGGGGGGTCCGGAGGAAGGGTTGGTGACTGGTCGCTCTCCAGTGCTAAAGCTGCAGGTTTTCATCGGTTGATCAGAAGTCTTGGGGTTTGTCTGTCCTGTATAGACTATTCAGTGCACACAGCCCACCATTTTTGGCAGTTAGCACACCATAACATACCTTTATCTTGTGATTGGTTTAAACCAGCTGTGGCATGTAAAGTGAGGTTTGGGAGATTGTTTGGGGGAAGTAGTTGCCCCACTCTTCTTCAGAGACTCGGGGACGAGACTTGAACCCATATCTGTAATCCTCACTGCCCTAGGGTAGTGCCCCTGTGTCCTAGGCAGGCCTAGGACAAAAGCAGGCTGTCAGGTCCTTTTGAAGTAGGTTAGTTATTCTGAGCGTCCTTCTGGCTCCTGTTTCTGCTTTTTTTTTCTGCCGACTCTCAGACCAAAAGGACTGTTGGAGAGAGACTGAGTGATCAGACCTTTCCAGTTTCCATATGATGCCCCAAGTGTTGAACTAAGTAAATTCAGTGGAAGTAGTTGGCAGATAATTGTTATACACCAAGTAGGTGTCTTCTGGAAGGTCATTGTTGAGGACTCACCTTTCTTAATGGAAGCCCCAATTTCTGGACTTGTATGTCTTTTGAAGATGGGTTCCTCCAGGGATGCCTCAGTTCCCCTATGATGGGGGAAAAGAAGGGGACAGGATTTTAGGAAAGGAGGTGACTTGTAGGTCACTTCTCTAGTGTAGCAACTCTTCCCTGAATTTCTCAGGTCTGTGTGTCTGCAGACAGGGCTGCTTACACACAGGCCCCCAAATGCATTGTTTTCCCCCTTCCTCTGGAATTTAGGTTTACTTTGCTCCAGCATGTGAGAGGGACCATCAGCTTTCTGTACTTCACCTCATAACCAAGGGCTGACTTGGCTCAAAGGGCAGATTTGAAAGCTGCTTGCAGCTGGTTTTAGAAATCCCAGGTCCTTGAGAATCTGGTGACACGTTGATGGCGAGTGGTGCTTGGCCTGGCCTCCAGAGGGTCTTCCTCACCTTGGGAACTGGGTTAGAAGCCAAACGTGGACTATTGGTCTATGGTTTTCCCTAGCTGCCCTACCGTCTGGTCAGTGTGTGCGGCTGCCTAACCTGATCCACTCCCACCTCCACCACACCTACCGTGTGGTTTTATTTTGAGGAAGTGTCAGGACTAAGTTTAGCACTGAAAGCAAGCTATGATACAACACCAGTTTGTAAAGATGTTTCCTGCCTAATTTCCTTCTCAGAAGCAAGAGCCGAGCATTTGGTAGCATCAACTTCCTGCATGATCTCAAGGCTGCTCATTTAAGCCTAACTCAAATTAAGTTCTGTAAAGCAGGAGTGACCCACATAGAAGACCATGCCCTTGGCAGTGCCTGAGAGGTCCTGGCGAGAGGTGTCAAGACAATTTGGCAGACCCAACCAGGGGCAGCAAAAGCAGAAGGCCCTCCTCCAAGGGCTTTAATGTCACTGGCTACAGGGACATCTAGATAAATCCTGAAAGGATCTATTGAAATCATGCTCTGATTTAGAGTGAAATTGCCCTGCCTTAGGATGTCTAAATCCTCTAGGAAAGACCCTTGATAAAAGCAAGTGCAGGTTTGCAAAAAGAGGGGTAGGGCTGGGGACCCGAGGTGAATGTGCGTGAATCCGTGGCAAGTGCTCCCATCATGAGCCATGGGTTCCTCTTGATCCTCAGGAAACACGCCGCAGAGGCGGCACGGTTGGTCCTGGTGGTTGATGGAGGGGCGAGGTGGCGTATCCTGCCACCAGCTGCCCCATCCCTCTGTCAACCCCAACTCCAGACCTATGTGTCACTGCCACTGCCAGCTGTCTTCCCTGCACTTCCTGGGGCTGGAGAGATGTGGAAATGACCAGCCCAGCCCTGGTGACTGGGTCTAGTGGCCTGATTTCCTCATCGCTAGAACTAGTTTCAAGTTTAAATAAATCACCACAAAACCCCCTGTGCTGGTAGCATGCTGCTGAAAGTACCATGGTGGTTGGTTAGTGAACTTCAAATATCTCACCTGCAACTAGGTTCCCTGAGCAAGAAGATTGTCAGCAAGGGGCGGGGGGAGCTGGAGGAGCAGTCTGGCCAGGCCTTGGGGCTCCTGGCTCTGGGATGGGGCTGGCTTGGAGAGTCCCCCTGCCTCCCACACGCACAGGTACTTGCCAAGGGCTGGGAGGTGCCAGGAGTTCTACCAGAAGCTGCAGTGCAGCAAGGACAGGGCCAGCCAGTTCCTGGCCTGACCTTGTCAGGGAAGGCCTCCAATCACCTGCACAACCCCTAGCCTTTGGCTCCATCCTGGGTCTAAACTCTGCTCTAGACCAGGAGCTACCACACACACTGTCGCACCAGCCCTCCAGCGACAGCTCCGGCACAGCACTAGGGAGGCTGCCCCACTGTCCAGACCTTGGACAGGTGACATTATCCTCGTTCAGAGCCCTGTTTAAATGGCAGGAGCCCACCCTGACCCCAGCCCAGCAGAGCCTGCCTCCCACCTTTCCTCCGCAGAGCACGGGCTGTCTGAGGATTGAATGAGGTCAAGTGCCCACTGGGCAAGTGCTGGCTATCACTAGACACACGTGTGCACACAGGTGCAGTTGTTAGCGCCTTCTCATAGATGACAGGCCCAGGGCGCTTGAGATGACTTACGGGGGACACACAGGAAATGGAGAGGGCAGGGTTCAGAGCCCAGTGCGAACATGTGTGCACGTCCTCCCTCTGCACCTGCCTTCCTGAGAAAGGAAGACTTGGGGTCCCTGGGGAGGTAGTGAGCTCATGAGTGCGCTGTGTTTCCACCCAGAGACACCTGCCTGTCATTGCAGCCTCGGCCCCACACAGCCAGTATCACAGCCAAGTGTCCCTGTTTGCCAGCAGTGGCTCGGGGGCCCCATCCTACTCTAGGCGCTAACGAGGACAGGCTCTGTGGGCTAGCCCAGGACCTGGCAAGGGGATCGGGCTGTTGCTCAAGAATGGGCAGCAGGAGGGCTGTATGAGTCTGTTTCTGTTGCTTATAACAAAATAGATGGAACTGGGTGATTTATAAGAAAACGAAATTCATTGCTTACAGTTTTGAGGCTGGAAAGTCAAGTCCACCTGGTGGTGGTGACAGTGACCCAGGGGTCTCACATTGCAAGATGGTGGAAGCAGAGAGAGAGAAAGACAGACTCTCTTCCTTTAGAGCCCTCAGAACCACGCCCCTGACCACCAATTTTAATCCATTCACTACTGCATGGTCCTACAATACAATCACCTCTTCAAGGCTCCACCTTTCAATTACCATAATAGTATTTCCCACCTTCTTAACAGTCACAGTGGGGCTGTTTCTAATACATAAAACTTAGGGGACACAATTCAAGCTTTAGGGAGTTTTAGGGGGACATAATTCAATCCACTACAAGGGGTTTAGGTTAGGCCTGGGGAAGAACTGTCCCCCAATGAACAGCGACGTGTTCCAAAATGGGAAGCCCTAGATTCCCGCTCCTGACAAGATCCCAGAGGGCACTGCCTGGGCCTCATGCCCTGACGCCAAGCCCCTTTCCACACACCCTGACTCCACTGGCCCAGCCTTGGGGATTTCCTGGCTAAGGAAATGGCCAGCCCGGCCCATCTGGGAAAGGCCAAGTGGCCTGAGGGTGGGGAGGGTGGCAGCTGGAGGAAGGCCAAGATCCTTGTGGCCAGACCGCGAAGCCCTGCTCCCCTCCAGCCTGGCCTGATGTCAGAGCCCCCTCCTGTGACATTCATGCAGGCTGGCTCCTCCCTCATGAGCCCCTCCCTAACCCAATCATCATTCATTCGCATGTTGTCCAACTTGCCTGGGTTCAGATCCCAGCTCTGCGCTTACCAGCAGTGGCAACCTACTTACCTCTCTGGGCCTCAGTTTTCCTATCTCGGAAGTGGGGGGAAGTGATGGTATCTGCAGCCTGTCAGCCTCCTCGTGAGGGTAAGCTGCGGTCTTAAACACAAAGCACCTAGGACGGTGCCTGACACAGGGCGCATCTTTCCTTATAGCACTTGAGGGGAGGTGGGGGCAATTCTGGGGGCTCCAGGATTGTTCTAATCCTTGGGTAATGGTTAACTAGAAGTCTACTTTATAATTATTATAATTTCATAATAATAACTTAAGCTGTGCAGTTTTCTGTATGTTTCACAATTTTTTTTAAAAAGTTTTTAAAATTCTCTCCTTTCCCCTAAGAAGTCTTTTATCTGTTCATCACCTCCTCCCTTCACCTCTGTTCATTCCCTTTTTGTTGTCAGTTTCTAAATCACCCAGTCACTTGCTCGTTTCATCCATGCCTTATCTCAGGACTGGCAGGTCAGCCAGTGAGAGTGCAGCCTTGTGACACCGAGGTCAAGGGTGCAGGTTCCCCTTACTGGCCAGCCACCAAAAAAGTTCACCTTCTCTCTCCTGACACAAGGGCTGGGCGCTGCTTGCACGGGCCTGGTGCTCCCAGCGTTTCCTGTCTGGCTCTCGCGGGAGCGTCCGGGGCCACAGGGGGCATGTGGGGAGGTGGCAGCATGGTGGCTCCAAGGCTGCTGGGCCGAGGCTGGCCAGGCAGTTGGGCAAGAGTGGAAAGACCCTGGAGGAGGGGACTGAGGCGCTGAGGCCGTGGGCTCTGCTTGCCGCGGCCCCCACCCTGCCCTGCCAGCCCCGGTGCGCGACCGATGGGGGCCTCCCCAGGCATGGGGCACCTAGGAAAGCCAGCCCCGGGGGCCTGCTCGCATCCATTATTCATCTTCACTTTGAATGCAAGTGACGCGTACCTGCAGGAGAGGGCCATGCACAGGTCTTATGCTGGTTTTCAGAAAGTGAACCCACTTGTGAGCTAGTGTCCTCCTGTCACTCCTGTCCCCTTCCCCACCCCACATGTCACCCTGGCTTCCAGCACCACACACGGCTTGGGTGATGTTGGAGTTTGGTAGAAACAGCACCATCCAGGACGGGTGCTTTGCCTCTGCCTTCTGTCTCTCAGCGTCGCGTCTGGAGGTTCAGCCATGTGTGTAGCAGCCCCTTGTCATCACTGAGCAGTGTCCATTGTGTCTGCTTATCCTTCTTGTGGGATGGTCCTAGATACATAAATGGAAATGACAGAGGAACGACTTGCAAGGCTAGTCACTCCCAGGGTGCTGCCCTCTGGGTTGGGAGAGGGGACAGTCATGACCAGAGGGGAGCAGGAGGCAGCAGGTGATGTGCCCTTTCTTGGCAAGGAAGAGAAGCACCTACCAAGCAAATTTTTCAGAGCAGAGAGAATGGGCCTTACACTTCTTAGACAACAAAATCAGGAACAACCTTGACCTTGACCTCATTGTGTTAGTCCTGAAATAGCACGTCTTAGCTCCCCCTCCGTCAGACCCTGACCCTCACCCCCAAAAGTCTAGGGGGTACCCATGGCTCAGACTGCTCTCGGTGCCATCTCCTTTGCTAGGGTCTCCCACGCTTGGACTCCGCAGATCTGGACTGCACGTCGGCCCTGCCCACTCTCCCTGAGCTCCAGCAAGGGCCAGGAGGTGCAACACAGGCCTGCCGGGGAGGCGGGGCCTGCGGCTAGACTGCCTGGGTCTCAGGTTGGCCACCTGTGAGCTTGGATGAGCTCTATAGCCTTGGAGCCTTTTGGGCTTTAGTAAGAGAGAGGGAGAGAGGCCCCAGTCTGTCCGCAGGCTCCTGACACCTCCTCATCTCTACATCCCAAATCCCCTTCTGCACAGAGCTGATGGTCCCATTTCACTCAGGAGGAAACTGAGTCAGCTCTGAGGAACGATTCGTTGATCAGGATTTGAACTCAGGTCTCACTCAAAGTCTGTGCTACATCTGTCCCAGCTGCCACCAGCCCTCAGCCACGCTCGCACGCCCAAGGATGTGCACCTAACCTGTGCACACGCTCCCACAGAGGTGCGCATCCATTCATCCCCTTCGTGAATTATAAAACCGCCATCAGATGTCTACAAGGGGCCACAGTGCTCCAGACCCCAGATGCAGGAGTGGGGCCAGAGCCCTTGACAAAACAGCCTGAGTCCCTGCTTTCATAGGACCCACATTCTGGTAAGGAGTGACATTGTAAAAAAAAAAGTTAAATTGCTCATCCATCTGTGATAAGTGAAAATAATAAGTAGATGATAAGTAGAAAAATAAAGCAGGAAGGGGAGACATGAAGATTGATATTTTATGTGAAGCTATCAAGGAAGGACCCTCAGAGGAGGTGACTTTCGAGCAGAGAAATGAGGAAGGGAGTTACAGATTAGTGGGGGAAGCCAGTCGAGAGGACCAGCAGGTGCAAAGGCCCTGAGGTGGGAGCAGCTCGGGCTGTTCAGGGAACAGCAGAGAGGCCAGTGCAGTTGGACCAGCAGGGCCAGCCAAGAGGAGAGAGTGAGAGATGACCCCCCAAACCCTGTGGGGCCTTATAGGCCACGGAGGATGAGGGCAAGTTGTCTCTGCACATATGTGTGTGTGTGGCTGCTCACGTCCACACCTTGTCAGCCTGAAGAGTGCCCAGAAACTGAAAGAAGAAGCAAAGCCCTTTCTGCACCCCCCCGCCTCCTCCCACCCCCCTGACCGACCGTGACAGAGGTCACTTCCTCTTTCCAGTACATTTAAGGCCCAGCCCGGGAGTGCCCTGGAGAAGTCGAGGCCGCACCACTGCCCAGCCATGGGGGACACCTTCATCCGCCACATCGCCCTCCTGGGCTTCGAGAAGCGCTTCGTCCCCAGCCAGCACTACGTGAGTAACCCAGGGACACCGTAGGAAGCCCAGCACTCAGGTCCAGTCCCCGCCCCTCCAGGGAGTCCTCCCTGAGCAGCTCAGTTGCAGGGGGTGGTCCTCCCCAGCAGAATGCCTGGCGACTGCAACTCTCTCTCTCAGCCGCCCATGGTGTCAGTTACATTAGAGTCAGATCTTCTCCAGTAGGGTGACATCATCACAGGGACCATAAAAGTACCCCCTCCTTCCTTGGGGGGCTGGAGAAATGCCTGCCCAGACATGGCCACCCCATCATGGACTCCCCCAAGCCCAGCAGAAGGTCAGAAAGGAACTCCACTTAGAAAATTGTATGGCACTTGTATGGAACATATAGTACTATGTGCTATGACCTTTCTCCTTTTTTCATAACTTTTAATTTTGAAGTAATTTCAAATTTACAGAAAGGTTGCCCCCCAAAGTACCAATAACTCCAATATTTCTTCACCCAGATTTTAATCCCCCCACCTCTCTGTCTCTCTCTCTCTCTCTCTGAATATAAATTTTCTAAATCATTTGTGAGTAAGTAGAAGACATTGTGTTTCTTTATCCTGAAATACTAGGTGGTGTCTATTTCTTAAAGTCAAGGACAGTCTCTCACATAACCTCAATGCACCTGTGTCAAAATCAGGAGATTAATATTGACAAAACACTACGATCCAAGCCACAGACTTTGTTTAGATTTCCCCAAGTATTCTATTTGTCCTCTCTAGTAAAAACTTTTTTCAGGTCCAGGATCCAATCCAGGATCAATTAGTCATCATATCCTTTAGCCTTCTTTAATCTGGGTCGATCCTGAGCAACTTTGACATTTTGCAGAGAGCAGGCCAGTCACCGTGCAGAGTGTCTGTGGAGCTAGGTTTGTCGGATGCTTCCTCACTGGGTTCAGTTGTGCACTGGGGCAGGGATGCCTCAGAGGGCATGCAGCGTTCTGATTGTGTCCTATCCGGTGGCACACAATTGTGACCTGCTCCAATACCGGAGATGTTAACTTTGATCCCTAGGTCGTGGGCATGTCTTCCAAGTTTCTCTACTGGAAAGTTATTATTTTTCCCTTTGTAATTAGTAACTAACTTTTGGGGAGATTCTTTGAAACTCTGTGACTCTCCTGTTGCTGATGACTCTTTCCTAAGTCAAATTAACACAACGAACACCAAAGAGTGATTTTTCAATGCCATCTTTCCTTCTGCATTTATTAATTAAAACTTTGCTGTAAGGGTCTTTCCTTCTCCATTATTTATTTGTTTACTTACGTCATTAGGGACACATGGATTTCTGTTTTATTCAGTGGGTTATAATCCATTACTATTGTGACTTATTTAATGCTTGGGTTGTCCCAGACTTGGCCAGTGGGAGCTGCTTCAAGCTGGGTTCTCTGCCCTTTTGACATGTCCCCTCATCCTTCTGGCTCATCTTGATTTCTGACACAAGATGTTGCAGGATTATTCTGCATATTCCAGCCCCAGCCCTGGATTTTCTAAGGATCCCTGGTTCTTTTGAGTGGGGAGAGACATTAGAACCCAAGATCTGGAAGTGAGGTGTGCTCATGGCTGCTGGGACATCACTGCTTATGTTCTTTCGGTGTGCACGCTGGGGGACATAGTAATTTCGTACGATTTTTTCCTTTCACCATTTGGTATTTGACTGTGAGAACCCTGGCTCCCAGCAAGGTCAGTAATTTACTGCTTTGCTCAATTCTACAATACACGTGAAATCGTTTCAGGATAACTACACCCACGCCATGACGAGTAACAGTCTGTGCTATTGTTTTTGTCTTTTTATCTTTGGACTGAGGGTAGGAAAAGTGCTGTAACTAAAACTTACTTGGATTATTTCTTTTCCATTTTTCTTTAATATGGTTATGTTACCAATTTGATATATGGTGAAGTTCGCTTGTTTGTCCCCAAGTTTGAGGTCTTAAAAAGGTCCTTGTTGATTTAATTTTATTTTTATCTTAACTTTTTTTGTGGCTGGCTGGTAGGGGGATCCGGATCCTTCACCTTGGTGTTAACAACACCAGCATCTAATCGACGGAGCTAACTGGCCAGCCAGTTTTATTTTTAAATGTGTGAAATATTAACATGCGTTCAAGCAGCAGAATTTGACAAAAAGGGCTGGCTGGTTAGCTCAATTGGTTAGCACACAGTCTTATAACACCAAGGCCGTGGGTTCGGATCCCCATACTGGCCAGCTGCCCAAAAAAAAAAAAAAAGAAAAGAAAAAACTTGGCCAAAAGATACAGTCAGAGACTTATTCTGGCATATCTTTCCTGTGCTTCTATTTGCAAAAATAAGTAGATATACGTATAAATATTTTCTTGTTTTTTTCTTCTTTACTACACATGGGTAATAAACAAGGTAGCAACGCATGTATGCTTTTTTTTTTTTTTTTCATTTTGCTATAATATCCGGGGATTCTCTCCAAATTAGATCGAGTCAGTCTCATTTTTTTACATCTGTGCAATATTCCATTGTGCACTATGCTGTTTTTTATTCAAAGGATCATTTAGATTGTTTTTACTATTTTGCAGTTGCCTAATTGTCCTGCATTTGTGTTGCTGTGAGTGAAGCTGCACACCTCTCCGTGTGTTTAAGGGCTACATATACATGTGCGCGTACACTACGAATTATCTGTCCGTGCCTTCTGCCCAATTTTCTATCAGACTTTTTGTCTTTTTCAAAATAAAAAAGTTCTTTACATATTAGGAAGAGTAACACTTTACCTGTGATAAATGCTACAAATGTTTTCTCCTGGTCTATCATTTGTCTTTTGGCTTTGCTTATGGTTTTATATGCAAAAGTTTAAAATTTTAAAAATGTATTTGGAATATCAACATTTTCTTGTATTGCCTTCAGGTTCTGAGCCAGTCAGAAGCCTTCCTACATGCCCACGCTGTGATCCCACGTTTCCTTCTGGCACTTGCATAATTTCATTTTCTACATTTAGATCTTGTCTATTTAAAGATTATTCTGGTGGATGGTGTAAGATATATTATCCAATTTTATTTCCCCAAAAGGCTACCAGTTGCCCCAACACCAGTGTCTAAAAACCCACCTCTCTTCCTGTGATTTGAGACACCACTTCAATCTTACCCTACATTTCCATTTCCAGGTACTTGGCTCTGTTTCTAGATTTTCTATTCTGTTCCATTGATCTTTTATTCATGCACTCGTACCACGCTGTTTTTAAAAAATTATTGCAGCAAAATATACATAACATAAAATTAACCATTTTAACCATTTTTAAGTGAGTAGTTACTGGCATTAAGTACATTCACTTTTTTTTTTTTTTTTGGCAACCATCACCACTATCCATCTCTAGAACTTTTTCAACATTACTAATGGAACCTCTGTACCCACTGAACAGTACCTCCTCATGTACCCTTCCCCAGCTCCAGGTAACCACCATTCTACCTTCTGAGTTTGTGGATTTGGCTGTTTTAGGCACCTCATATAAGCGGAATCCTACAACATTTGTCCTTTTATATCTGGCTTATTTCATCCATGTTGTAGCATGTGTCAGAATTTCCTTTCTTTTTAAGGCCGAATAATAGTCCATTGTATGGATATACCACATTGTGTTTATTCATTCATGTTGATAAATAACCCTTTGGTTATTGTGAATAATGATGCCACGAACACTGGTGTACAAATATCTGTTCAAGTCCCTGTTTTCAGTTCTTATGGGTATATACCCATGTATTAGTCCCTTTGTGATGCTTATAATAAAATAGTTAGAACTGGGTAGTTTATAAAGAAAATGAAATTTATTGCTTGAAGTTTCTGAGACTGGGAAGTCCAAAGTCCATCTGCTGGTGGCAACAGTGACCCAGGAGTCTCACATTGCAAGATGGTGGAAGCAGAAAGAGCAGAGAGAGCCAGGAAGACAGACTCCCTTCTTTTTTCAAAGCCCTCAGAACCACACCCTTGATGACCATTTTTAATCCAGTCACTACTGCAGGGTCCTACAATCCAATCACCTCTTCAAGGCTCCAACTTTCAATGACCATTAACAGGATTTCCCACCCTCTTAACAGTCACAGTGGGGGCCAAGTTTCCAATACATAAAACTCAAGGGACACAATTCAAGCTTCAGTGAATTTTGGGGGGACATAATTCAATCCACTATAACCCAGAAGTGGAATTGCTGGATCATATGGTAATTCTATGTTTAATTTTTTGAGGAGCTCTGTTTTCTATAGTGGCTGTACCATTTTAGATACCAACAAGCAACACACAAGGGTTCCAATTTCTCTACGTCTTCACCAATATTTGTTATTTTCTGGGGTTTTTTTGTTTGTTTTTTTACAGCTATCCTTTTTTTTTGGCAGCTAGCCAGTGCTGGGATCTGAACCCTTGACGTTGGTGCTATCAGCACCACGCTCTAACCAAGTGAGCCAACCAGCCAGCCCCTTCTTCTTCCTTTTAAATAGTTTTATTGACATATAATTTATATACCACATATGGTTTATGGTATACTTACAGAGATTTAAGTATGCCATAATCTAATTTTTAGAACATTTTACCTTCCCCAAAGAAACCTCATACCCATTAGTATCTATTCTTTTTACTCTCCAATATTTATTCTGAAAAATTTTCCAACCTGGATTCACCATTAATATTATTCTACATTGCTTTATCGTGTATCTATCCATCCATTTCATTTTGGGTGCATTTCAAAGTAAGTTGCAAACATCAGTACACTTTGTCCTAAATACTTCAGCATGCATATCATTCAGCATGAGTTCAGAATTTGCTTATAGTTTTTTCTCTTTCGATGCAAAATTTACATAGAATGAAATCCATACTCTTAGAGATACATTGGCTGGGTTTTGATAGTGCTATCTCTACATGACCCCAGAACATTCCTTCATGCCCCGGTCGTCTCCCCTGCCTCAGAAGGATTCACTGTTATGATTTTTTTCCACCTCAAATTAGCTTTGCTTGCTCTAGAATGTCATAGATGTGGGGTTGTCTTGAGTGTGGCCTTTGTATGTGTCTTCTCTCAGCCGGCACGGTGCTTTCGAGATCCATCCATGCTGTTGCGTGTATCAGTGATTTGTTCCTTTAGGTGGCTGACTGGTATTCTCCTAGCTGTTTTTGCTTATTTTTCCTCACTGAATTCTTTTTAAAAAATATGTAATGGCTCGTAAAAGCTTTATTGAGATATAATTCACATGCCATACAATTCACTTCTGTAAAGTGTACAATTCAGTGGTTTTTAGTATATTCACAGAGTTGTACAACTATCTCCACAATCAGTTTGGGACATTTTTGTCACACCTCCCTCCAAAAGAAACCCTGTTCCCATTAGCAGTCACTCCACATCCCCCCAGCCCTAAGCAACTACTAATCTACTATAGAGTAGTCGATTCCCTAACAGATATAGATTTCCCTATTCTGGACATTTCATATAAATGAAATTATACAACGTCTTGCTAAGCTCTCATATTGTTTGAGCCCAGCCCTTTCTATTTCTTCCTTCATGTGATGCTTATGTGTGCCGTAGGAATGAGGTCCTACTTTTATCTCTGATTTGTAGATGAGGAATTTGAGTTAGTTTGAGAGAAGCTGACCGTCTTGTCCTAGGTCCCAAAGCTGGAGAACGTTGGCTCCTGGGTCCGTGATGTTTGTGTCCTTTCTGTGGCCCAGGCTGTGCCAATGATCTCCTTCAGCCGGATCCTCTGAGCTGCCACCAAGGGGTGAGGGGTGGGGGTGGCCCAGGTGCACGGAAGGCACCCTTGGAAGCTGAATGAGGTCCCCCTGCCCTGGCCTCCCCCCAGGTGTACATGTTCTTGGTAAAGTGGCAGGACCTGTCCGAGAAGCTGGTCTACCGGCGGTTCACCGAGATCTACGAGTTCCACGTGAGTGTGCGGGGGGGGGGGGGGACTGCCTGCCCCACTCTGCCGTGTAGGAAGGGACCTGCCAGGTGGTCGTCGGGAGCTGCAGAACCCGGGATCCCCCCAGTCCACAGTTAAAGGGGGCATATTTTTTCACTTTAAAAGCATTTTTACCAAAAGTATATTTTTATTGTGCTAAAATATTCGTAATATAAAGTTTATACTTTCACCATCTGTAGGTCTGCAGTTCAGTGCAGTTCACGGTGTCGTGCCGCCATTACCACTAGCCATTCCCAGAATTTTTCATCGTGCCCCGCAGGAAGTCTGTGCCATTCAACACTAGCTCAAGGGGACATTCTGAAGGGGTGGGCTTGCCCTGTTGCTGCAGAGAACCGCCTGGCCAGTGTCACCACTGAGGTCCCAATCCCAGGAGTGTGTTCTTTTTTTTTTTTTTTTTGTCTTTTATCTTTTTCTGTGTCCGGCAATGGATCGCATCCCTCAGTGTTGCCCCCGTACCGGACCGGGGACCAGCAACGGGATCACAACCCTCGGTGTTGCTCCCGCGCCTCGCTCAGCCAGTGAGCGGGAACCGGTCTGTATGTGGGATCTGAACCCTCGGGCGGGAGCGCCGCCGCGCTTCCCAAGCGGCGCACTATCCAGTGCGCCACCGGGCCGGCCCACCAGGAGTGTGTTCTTTAACTGATGGTCACCACCCCTCATGTATCAAAAGGAGGGTTGACAGTCCTGACACCCAAGAAAGCAGGTCCTCTTGCTTTTCGGGTGCCTGCTGTCATCAAGGCTCACGGGAGCGAATCCCAACAGCTCTAAAAGGGAGGGCCCCCAATGCCAGTGACCGGCTGAACAGAACTGGAGATGGTCATCAAGGGGTTGTGTTACACGGGCCATGGCTGCTGGGTCCTGGTCTGAGACAGGGTCAGGTTGGTGGTGGGTCCACCAGAGCCAGATGGGTCCCCCAAAGACCCACCTCTACAAGCAAGGCCCTGCTTAACACAATGAACAGAGTCTGCAACCATGGGGGCTCTGCACCCACCTGGGATGAGAAATTTAAACTGAAGTGCAAATGAGCCCTGCATACCCAACACCCAGAATTCACAATTGGTGGCACTGGGCTGTTTGCTTCAAGGCTTTTTTAAAGAAAGGCTGGCCAGTGAGCTCAGTCGGTTACAGCGCCATGCTGATAACGCCAGGTCCAGAGTTCCATCCCTGCAATGGCCAGTGGCAAACAGACAAACAAACACCAACATTACAAACAGAACTCGAAGGCTGCCTTTATCCCACACACCTGTCCCAGTTCCTACCCTTGGATGACCACACACACACACACACACACGCACACACACACACACGGTGAGTCCAAGGACAGCTAGTAATGTGTGTGACGTCCTTGGCACCTGTCCGTGTGGCTCGGTCTCACCTCTTTAAACTGGTCTAGGTTATTCCGCGGTAGGCTCAGCCTATGTTGATGGTGGGCTCATTCACTTACTGAGCGAGCTCCTTCCAGTGGGTGAGCAGAAGGCAGCCAAGGGGTAAAAGCAGATGCGAACCCTCACCATTACCTCAATGAGAACTGAGGAGAGAGGGGCCGGCCCGGTGGCGCACTGGAGAGTGCGGCTCCCGCCGAGGGTTCGGATCCCACATACAGACCGGTTCCCGCTCACTGGCTGAGCGCGGTGCGGGCGCAACACCGAGGGTTGCGATCCTGTTACCGGTCAGTAAAAAAGACAAAAAGGAAAAAAAAAAAAAAACTGAGGAGAGAACAAAGCAGGGACAGGCTCAGGGGTGTGAGGAGGGTGAGAGGGTGACTGTCAAGGCAGTTGTCAGGAAAGGCCTGGCCGAGGGGGCGAGCCGAGCACAGACCTGCCGGAGTAGCGAGCAGAGAGCGCTGTTGATCTATGTGAGCACAGAACGGGAACAGCAGGAGCCCCGAGCAGAGTGGCCGCGGGCAAGAGTGGCCGCAGAAGAGGGCAGCGAGGTGGCCGGGGCAGGTCCGCAATGAGCTGGCAGCCAGGAGGGCGCCGAGCAGAGGAGGGACAGGCTCCGACGTGGGTGTTAGGAGGAGCCCTCTGGCTGCGGGGTCGAGGACAGACACGGGTGTGGGGAGAGACGTAGGGAGGCCGCTGTAACCCAGGGCTGGGGGTGGCTCTGCCCATGGTGGTGGCAGTGGGGGACTTGACGTGGAGGGGGCAGAGAGACAGAGGAATCAAGGATACCACCAAAGAAGTTTCTAGCACGAGGGATAGGTTGTTTCCAATTATGTGTTTCTACAGAGTTGTAATAACGAATATTTCTTCCCATCTTCTTTTCTCTTTATGTCTAGAAAGCCTTAAAAGAAATGTTTCCTATCGAGGCAGGGGAAATCAGCCCAGAGAACAGGATCATCCCGCACCTCCCAGGTGAGGAGCGGGGCTGAGTCACCTGGGCCGGGTCACCTGTCCCGGGTTCCACCACCTGCCCTGCAAGCAGCCCCGCTGCACACTCCCACCCCTCTCAGCCTCGGGTGCTCGGGAAGGTGCTCACGGCCCCTCTGCGCCCCTCCCTGGCCCGACAGCTCCCAGGTGGTTTGACGGGCAGCGGGCCGCCGAGAGCCGCCAGGGCACGCTCACCGAGTACTGCGGCGCGCTCATGGCGCTGCCCGTGAAGATCTCCCGCTGCCCCCACCTGCTCAACTTCTTCAAGGTGCGCCCCGACGACCTCAAGCTGCCCACGGACAGCCAGTGAGTGGCCTCCTCCTCCCAGCAGGCAGGAGAGGGCAGCAGGCGGGACCTCCCCACTTTACAGATGAGGGGACTGAAACTCAGAGAGGGAAAGAGACTCGGCCAAAGTCACACAGCTGGCCCAAGAAGGAGGCAGGACTCCAACTCTGGCCTGTGTGATCTGGCCCGTGCAACCCAGCCAAGTCTCCATGTGGACTCCTCTGAGCCTCACGGTGCAGGGGAAGGCACTCCAGGCCGGGGATCCGAAGTCCTGGGGCCTCATCCTGACCTTGTGACCGCCTGGCCCAGTGACCTGGAGCTGGTCAGGGCCGCCCTCTGAATGCAGGTTCCCCGTGGGTAATGGGTGGAGATGGCCAGATGCCATAGTGGTTGCCATGCAGGGCCCCCAGAGGATAGGGGGTCGGTGCTCCTGCCAACTGCTGAGCAGGTCTCGTGCCCCTGCCCTGGGGTCTCCCACACCCAGGTCCCTGTATGCAGGGCATCTAAGAGGCTGAGTGAGCTCCAGGCAGGCCGGGCAAGCCCTCTCTCTGACTCTCTCTGGCCCCTGAAGTCGCGGGGGAGATCTGTCCCTCACCAAGGCACCCAGGCTGCCAGGATAGCAGCATCGCTCCAGCAAGTGCTTACGGACCCTTGAATTGCCCCGGTCCAAGGAAGGTGATGGGAATGACCCCCATGTGATCCCTCCATGGTCCACCCCCACGGCCTGCTCTCTCGAGGCTCCAGAAGGAAAGAGATGGCCCATGAACTGACACGCACCTTCCCCAGGCCTAGGGCCTCGCTTCATCTGGCTGGAGCAGGAGGCCCATGCACTCTCTGCAGGGTCTGCGGGAGGCTGGGGCTGTGTCCTCCTCATGCCCGTCCCTCGGGCTGGCCGAGCAGAGGCCCCGGTCATTCCCCCAAGCCCCTTCCTTGCCAGCTCCATTGCTACCTTCTCTCAGTAGTGGCCCCATTTCCCCTGGGAAGTTGTTCTGTAGGTCTAATCAGCAGGAAGCTGAGTATCTGACCCAGACTGTTCGTTCTCTCCTCAGGCTGAAAAAGCCGGAAACATACCTGATGCCCAAAGATGGCAAGAGTAACGTGACAGGTGAGAGGGCCAGTGCGGCCGGGGGCAGGGGCACCCTCAGGGGATTGTCAACACGGCCAGCAACTCAGAGCTTGGGGTGGACAGGGATGAGGGCAGGAGGTGTAAGTAGGCTGGGAAGGCTCTTGGATGCTGTATTAGTCTGTTTTCATGTTGCTCTAACAGAACACCTGAAAGTGGGTAATTCATAAAAACTTTATTTGGCTCACGATTCTGAGACAGCTGCATCTGGCACAGGCCTCAGGCTGCTTCTACTCATGGCAGAAAGTGGCAGGCAGCAAGATCAGGTGCAAGATCACATGGTGAGGGGAAGCAAGAGAGGGCGGGAGGGGAGGTGCCAGGCTCCTTTAACAACCGCCTCTTGCGGGAACTAACAGAGCGAGAACTCAATACCACCACCCCAGGGAGGGTGTTAGTCCATTCAAGACCCAAAACCTCCCAACCCTGCCACACTGGGGATCAGACTGCAACACGAGCTTTGGGGGACAACATGTCCAAACTATATTAGTTGCCCACTGAAGAGCTGGGTATTTGGGGGTCACGAGAATAACAAGGGCACCTTGCAGGTGGCTGTGTTGCCCAGCACAGATCCTGGCTCCCGGCCTGGGGATGTTTGTGGCTGAATGAATGAACAGGTTTTGAGGGCTAAGATGACCTTCAGAGGTGACACAGGGGCATGACAGTTTCTCTTGTTTATTGCACAGTGGTTGCTAATAATGACACCTCACATTTATCTTGCACTTACTCTGTGCTGGGCATTATTTTAAATGTATTAACTGCCGCAACCATCTCTATAGCAGTATGAAATATTAAATGTATTAACTGCTGCAATCATCTCTACAGCAATATGAAATAGGTACGCTGTGCTGTTATCCCCATTTTACAGCCGAGCACACTGAGACTTGATGTAAGTTGAGACTCTTGCCCAAGGTCACACAGCTGCTAAGTGCTGGAGCAGGATTTGAACCAGTCAGCATGACATCCAGACAAGTGCTCTGGGTTTTCTGAGTGTGGCCCAGAGACAGCAGTATGCCAGTTGGCCGGAGCTGCCTTAACAAAGTACCACAGGCTGGGTGGCCCAAACAACAGAAGTGTGAGCTCTCACAGTTCTGGAGGCTGGAAGTCCAAGATCAAGGTGCCAGCAGGCCAGTTTCTCCTGCGGCCTCTCTGCTTGGCCTGCAGGCAGCTGCCTTCCTGCTGTCCTCACAGAGCCTTTCCCCTTCTTATAAGGACACCAGGCCTATTGGATTAGGGCCTCTCCCTTATGACCTCATTTTAACTTAATTACCTCTTAGAAGATCCTGTCTTCAAATACAGTCATATTCTCAGGGTCCGTGGGATAGAGCTTCAGCGTGTGAGGTTTGGGCTCAGAATACAGCCCAGAACAGGGAGCTTCGGCATCACTTGGGGGTGGGTTCAAAAGGCAGACTCAGGTCTCACCACAGACCCCCCCGAATCAGGATCTGCATTTTATCAAGTTCTGCAGGGGATTCCCGTGCACGTCAAATGAGAACGGGGATGTGTGTGAAGCCAGGGCCAGGGTCTGGTTGTGCGAGGCGCTCAGTAAATGCAGGGCTGCAAAGACCACCTTGTCTTTGCTGCTTTCCAGTTTGCAGGGCGCGGCCACCCCAGTGAGCCTGGAGCTGGGTGGGGTGGAAGGCCAGCATCTGTGGGGTGGCCCACTCACCCTGCCCTCCCTCTGCCCCAGACATCACGGGCCCCATCATCCTGCAGACCTACCGTGCCATCGCCGACTACGAGAAGAGCTCGGGCTCAGAGATGTCCCTGGCTATGGGCGATGTGGTGGATGTCGTGGAGAAGAATGAGAACGGTCAGGCCTCCCCACCCTGCCTTCTTCCCCAGGCGCGCAGGGACCCACAGCCACAAGCCCCCGCCGAGGCTCAGGCAGCCCAGAGCCTCCTTGTGGCTTGGCCCTCTGGGGGGCGCAGGCTCCTTCAGAGGCCCTGGATGTCCTCTCACACTGAGGGTCGCCCTTCCCTCTGAGTGCCCCCCGGGGTGTCTATGTGTGTCCCACACCAGGACTGTGTGTGTGCAAATGCACTGCTCGTGGGCGTGCGACTCCCCTGTATGAGGGGCTCAGAGACAGAATTCATGCGCATGTGTGTGATGGTGGTGTCCAGTGTAGTGAAGGGGACCTTTCTGAGTCTGAGCACTGGGAGTCTGTTTGTCTGTGTCCAAGTGTCCTGCCAGGCCCCACCCCTCATTTTCCTCCCCACACCTGGCACAGGCTGGTGGTTCTGCCAAAGGAAGGCCACGCGCGGTTGGGTCCCGGCATCCTTCTTGGAGCCCCTGGACAGTCCCGACGAGTCGGAGGACCCGGAGCCCAACTATGCAGGTGCCCCCTGCCCTCCAAGGCCATAGAGGTGTGGGAGGAAGGGGGAGGAGGGACCCAGGGATATTGAGAAGCCAGAGCGACTGTTTTGGGGTCTGGCCTGGTTGCCGGCTGGGCAGAGGGAACATCAGGGCTGAGGCCCCCTGGTCTCTGGTTTGGTGGCCCTGGTAGGTCTTGATGCCCTGGGGGAGGACAGGAAAGCTGGAGGTGGAGCAGAAGGTGTGGGATGGGGAGGAGGTCTGCCTGGGGCACGTGGTGGCTGTTGGCATGGGGCCAGGTCTAGTGGGAAGCTGATTGATCAGCAGACCTGAGGCTCAGGAAGGAGGGCTGCCTGGAGGTGGGGCATCATCACTGCCCAGAGGGGGAAATCTGGCAGCCCCAGGGCTAGATGGGGCCTGTGCTGAATTTGAAAAAAACTGAATTTGGTTGCCCATATTTTAAAATTGAGTGATTTCACCATTTTGTGTGGATTTATGGCTCCTCTCTAAAAACTGAAGAAGACATGCAGCGCCCCCATGCCAATAGCTGGCTGGAGTGGAGTGGCTCCTGATGCCACGTGGATGGGTGCCCCTCCCTCCCACTTCACACCCCCCCGCCCCCCCCCCCCCCCATGTAGGTGCTCGGCCTGTGGTTACGGGAGCTTCTGGTCCCTGGTGTGGATGGCAATGGCTAGGAGTGGGCAGCTCACCCAGGTGTAGTGGGCAGAGGCAGAAGTCCCGAGTGTGCCCAGGAGTGGGTGGCAGGAGGAACCTGCAGAGGAAGACCAAGGGGAAGCAGGAGGGGGGGCGAGGAGAGCCAGAGGAGGCGGTCATGGGTCTGGGTGGGTCTGAGCAACTGGAGGAAACCCAGGCTGAGAGGAGGGGTGGTGAGCCCTGTACTGGAAAGACCCTCACACCGTGCCCTGTATTCTACTGTGGACCAGGCGAGCCCTATGTCACCATCAAATCCTACACTGCCGTGGAGGAGGATGAGGTGTCCCTGCCTGAAGGTGAAACTATAGAGGTCATTCATAAGCTCCTGGATGGCTGGTGGGTCATCAGGTAGGAGAGCCCCTCGCCACCCACCTGAGAGTCAGCCTCAGCCAGGGCGGGATGCATTTGGGCTCTGGGCCGACGTGGCTGTATGACTCTGGGTAAGCCACTGCCCCTCTGTGGGCTCAATTTCCATCTCAGTAGCAGGGGAGTGGTGAGCCCACCCTGCCCATCTTGTGGGCCTCAGTGTCTTGGTCCAAGTGGGTGCATTTTTCCTTTGTGACTTAGAGTCTCTTCCTGATCATGCCCTCTGTTATTCCCTCTCCAGCAACACAGTGAATCGTTGTATGAATTACTACTCTGAAAACTGGTAGAGCAGACCATACCATCCCTTTTCCTTTCAAAAGTGTCTTTGCAATTCCCATCTGTTATTTCTCCAAATGAATGTAGGAATGCTAATTACTTTTTTCTGGTTCTGGGAAAAACAGAATCATAGGGGCTTGCTGAACCATTTCATTGGAGTGAAGGGGCCTCCCAGGTCATTGACTGCATTCTCAGAGCCCTGGGCCACAGGGTGGCTCTGGCCCCCAGCAAGCTTGTCCTGGGGCTGTGGCCACAACACACATACCCCTAGCATGCCCTGGGCTGGCGAGTTTTGAGGCAGCATTTCTTTTAGACCCACACTCAGTTAATCCTCATCATGACTGCCCCCCTCCCAATCTTCTTGTGATTCTCCCACTAGCCAGGAAGAATTAGAGTTTTACCATGTGAAGTTTGTATTATGCAAAGTTTTTTTTTTCTAACTCCCAAATATAGTATTGAGAATGAAAATGAAAATCTTTTCAACAAATGGTGCTGGAACAGCTGGATAGGCAAATGAAAAAAACAAAAACAAAAACAAAAACACAGACCCCTACCTCACACTGTACAGAAACATGTATTTCTGGTGGATCACAGGTTTTGGAAGAAATAACAGAAAAACCTGGTGACTTGGGAGTAGGCAAAGGTTCTTAGGACACAGAAGGCAATCAGCATAAATGAAAAAACTGACAAATATAATCTTGCAGATGTCCTATAGCAAGACCTGGGGAGACCTGGATCTGCTAACTTCCTCCCCCTGCCCAGGCTTTGAAAGGAGAGCTGGCTGGGAGGGTCTGTGTTGAACAGATGAGGAGATTGATGCCCACCGGGGCAGGGTCTGGTTGTTTGCAACCTCTCAGCCTGCCTTGACCCCAACTGTTGAGAGGGAGCCCCCCCCCACCCCCAGACGACTTCCCCAGCCTCAGGGGCTGCCTCTGTTGCAGGAAAGATGACGTCACAGGCTACTTCCCGTCCATGTACTTGCAAAAGTCGGGGCAGGACCTGACCCAGGCCCAACACCAGATCAAGGGCCGAGGGGCGCCGCCCCGCAGGTGAGCGTGGGTCCCCGGGGCCGGGCGGGGTTGCGGGGGCAAAGATGCCGATGCCCAGGGCTTCCTGAGGAGGGGCAGGCGGAAGGCCGGCGAGGGGCGGGGGACATGTGCTTGGGCCCTGCGGCAGGACAGGGGCCGTGTCGGTGAAGGGGACAGCAGCCGCCCCAACCCGCCGCCCCCCAGTTCCTCGGGCTAGTCTTTGGATCCCAGGGGCGCCCATCCCAGGCCCGCTGGGCAGAGACTCGGGTGCGGTGGGGGCGCTGGGGCTGTGACGACGCCCCCTACCCGCTGGGCCAGGTCGTCCATCCGCAACGCGCACAGCATCCACCAGCGGTCGCGGAAGCGACTCAGCCAGGACACCTATCGCCGCAACAGCGTCCGTTTCTTGCAGCAGCGTCGCCGCCAGATGCGGCCGGGGAAGCAGAGCCCTGGGAGCCCGCTGCGTGAGTGCAGGCCGGGGCGGGGCGGAGCCTGGAGGGCGGAGTCAAAGGAGAGGAGGGGCGGGGCCTGGAGGGCGGAGCCAAAGGAGAGGAGGGGCGGGGCCTGGAGGGCGGAGCCAAAGGAGAGGCGGGGCCGAGGCCGTCAGGCCGCGCCAGGGACTCTGACCGCGTTCCCTCGTCCGCCAGTCGAGGAGTCGCAGACGCAGCGTACGAAGCCGCAGCCCGCCGTGCCCCCGCGGCCCAGCGCCGACCTCATCCTGCACCGCTGCAGCGAGAGCACCAAGCGGAAGCTGGCGTCCTCCATCTGAGGCAGGAGCGCCGCCCCCGGAGAGTGCCCCAACCCCTCCGCCATCTCCTGGCCCTATCCCTGTATATATTTGTATATAGCCTGCTGTCTGGACGCCAAGGACAGCCCCGGGCCCCCGCCCCACATGGCTACCCGCCACCCTCAGTAAACACTGCTTGTAGTGGACAGGGACTATGCAGAAACGCAGTGCGGATAGGACTCCGCCCTAGTGGTATTTCTCGAATAAGGACCAGGGTTGTGAGAGCTGCTGGGGGGGAATTGCAAGAGCTGAGGTGCGATTGCATAATGTCTTGGCCAAGAACACGTTTGCACAAGTCCAAGTGCAAGAGGAAATCCAGGCCCTCCACTGACCGTTCGTCTGGACGGAAGCCGCCTGCCTGAACTCTGGCCTTACTGCAGAAGAGTCTTGAAGATAGACGGGTTTAACAGGCCAGCCCTGTCTCATGATAGGAGATGAGCTGCAGTCCAGGGTTAGGAAGGACAAAAAAGTTTGCAATTTAGATATGGGGGTCCTCTGATTATTCACTGAGACCCTGCCCCACTTAAGAGGTTGTACCAGAAAGAAACATTCACTGATGAACAGATCCTCACCACTTACCCTAGAGATGCTGCCAGCCTGTGGCCTCAAAGTCTTTGCGGGTGGGTCTCTCCTAAACCACAAAGACAGTAGGGTACAAAGTGGAGCTGCAAACCTTGCAAAAGATGCAGCTTGTCATGAAGGCCATGACGGGCCTGGAGAGCTGCTCCTCCTGCATGGGAAATGGCTGTGTGAAGATGGATAAGGCCGGTCCCCTTAGAGATGTGCTTTTCAAGAGAGTAATTTGACCATCGAAGGATTGAAAGAGGCCTTGAAACCACTGGAGCCCTTACCTACCTAGTTTTGCATTTTTGCAGACCCTTGTTTTCTGGAAAAGTCCAGCATCAAGGGTTATCATAAAAAGCTGTGGAGAAATTAACCACCAAACCCAATCCCTCTGTTTGTTCAGTTGCAATTATAACCTTTTTATTAAATACATTATAAAATACTTATTTTCATAATTTTTATTTTTTCCAAGCTGTAGTTCTGATCAAATGTTTTTCCGTGTTTGTTCTATATGTATTTCTGGTTGCCTTGAAGTGGCCTTGTGCCGGCAGTACTGGGGAAGAGGCCTTGAGGTGGGTGTGCATGTGGTCAGGCAGACGTGCTGTAGTCCTGCCACCTGCAGACATGCGTGAGAGGAGGGGGGTGGGTGTGCCTGGAGATGCCAGCTCTGAAGAAAGGCTGCAGTCTGTTCAGCTAACAATTTTCTTGAGACCAGGCATAGTGCTGGGCTTGTCACATCATCTCTACTTCTGACAACCCTGTCAGGCAGGTATTTTACAAATGAGAAAACCGAAGTCCTGGGAATGTAGGTGATTTGCTTAACGTAACATGGCAAGAAGATGGTAGAGCTGGGAGGTGAAGCCAGGCTCTTTTTTGATTCCAAAGCGCTACTGGGTCCAGTACATTGCCTGACCCCGCAGAGCACATGAACTGCAGGGCAGGCCTGGTGGCAGGGGTGTCTGAGGTATGCTCAGAGGAGGGAGTGTGTGCACACAGGTGCATGCCAGGCTAAGGGCGAGGTGCATCTGGCTTCCAGGGCCCTCTGCAGACCCTAGTGTCCCTGGGGACTGTGTTGGTGGACTGACCAGCCTTTTCTTCTGCCCATCCTGGGATGGGGAAACAGGGCCTTGGGACAGATACAGGATATTCCCTACCCCAGGGAACTGAGAGACCCACCAAATCCAGCCCCCAGCTCCTGACCTGGTTCCTTCCCCATCTCCACCTTTAAGTGTTCCCATCTGCAGATATCCCATCATCATGACTACTGAAAACCACCTCCACTCATTCCCTCCTTTCCCACAATCTTAGCTTAGTGACATGAGTGACATGAGTGACAGTGCTGATCAACAGGCAGTGTTCCCCAAGCCATTCTGGTCCCAAGACACATTCCAACGTAAAGAAGGAATCTCAAGGCCTTAGGAGTTGGTTCAAAGCAGAATAGTCTCATGAATGGTCCAGTCAACAGAAGGCAGCTTAGGCTGAGCCCTGCTGTCCTCTCTCTGTCATCCAATGGACTAACCACCAGGGAGCCACACACATGACAGGTGATGAGCTCAGAGGCTGCATGACACATGCTAGGTCTCCACGTTAGGCATGTTGGAGGCTTAGAAATAAAGAACGTGGACATTGGAATCACGCAGATCCAGGTTTGAATCCTGACTCCTCTACTGGCTGTGTGACCTCAGGCAAGCCACTCAACTACTCTGAGCCCCAGTTGCCTGTGTATAAATTAGGGGGTTGATCTTTTTCTGTCACCTGGCCACACCTCTGATATATGATGTCATTATCCACACAGGTACATCAGGAGCTGGTCCTCCCACCAGCCCCATTATAAATCAGTCCATTCTGGATTCCTTCTTCAGGAAGTGAGCCTCTGAGCTCACTGGACAGAAACTGCCTGGGTGGGGACACTTCCCCAGTGTCTGAGGATAGGCACTTGGGCTCCAGCTGGGGCTGGCACCTTGTGCAGGTCACAGCAGCCCGGAGGCTGGTCTCTCCTCCTGCGCCTCCCTTCATTTGTATCAAAGCCCCTCTCTCACTGCTTCCTAAGGTGCGCCCCCATGCTGGGATCCTCAGCCTTCTTCCGCTCTGGTCACATTAATTCCCCCCAATCTGGAAAGTGTTCACAATTTTGGGTCACTAATTCCAGTGACTAGTAGAGATTAAGAACACAGATATAAGTGCCTTCAAATGACAACCCTCCGGGGGGAAAATGCTATGCAGGAAAGGACACTAGATCAACAGACGAAACTGGAGTAGGAACAGTAAACTACATAAGGGTATTGCATCAATGTTCGATTTACTGAAGTTGGTAACTGAATCATGGTGATGTAACAGAATATCCCTATTCTCAGAAAATGCTCCCTGAAGTATGAAGGGGCAAATGATGTATGTAATTTTCCCTCAAATGGTTTGGGAAAAAAAATGCGTACACATTTATACACACATTATGAATACGCATAGACATTCGTTTATACACACACAGGCACTGATCATAGACACAAACACACGTATGAGAAAGGGAGAGAAAACAAATGATAAAACGCAGGGGTAAATGGTGACAACATGAGAATCTGGCTAAAGGACGTACAAGTACTTCTCATATATTTTTGCAACTTTTCTATAAATTTGAAATTATTTCAAAATAAAAAGTTAAAAAAAGAGACAACCTTCAAACCTCAACTTACTTTGTTTTTTATAGCTTATATTATTTGGATGGGGGCTTTCCATTTTAAGCTTGACCTTTCTAGCTTCATGTGAAGACAGAGACAGATAATACAGGAATACTACAGTACGTGAATATGTCTCTAACCAATTCTCCTTAAACTTGGAAACATTTTAGACCATGTGGAATACCATGCAAATGGGGGAGCTGTAAATGTGTGCATATCTGCCCCTCAGTGAATATACACCTCTCTCTCTATTCCTCTAAGTTAAACTTTGAAGTGCCAACCACAATGCCTGTGGGGGTCAAGCAGGTATTGTGAAGGACTGAAACAGGCCAGGTGTAAGAAAAGTCACCTCCTGAAAGGGCCGGCCCGTGGCTCACTCGGGAGAGTGCGGTGCTGATAACACCAAGGCCATGGGTTTGGATCCCTATATAGGGATGGCTGGTTAGCTCACTTGGGAGAGCGTGGTGCTGACAACACCAAGTCAAGGGTTAAGATCCCCTTACCGGTCATCTTTTAAAAAAAGAAAAGAAAAGTTCCCCTAAGGTCAAGAACAAGACAAGGATGTCTGTTCTCTCCACATCTGTTCAACATTGTTCTGGAGATTCTAGCCAGGATGATCAGACAAGAAAAAAAAAAAAAAAGCATCAAGAAAAATCAGCTACTAGCAATACAATAAAACTTTCTTGATTTTTACTGAACTATGGTGAAGCATAAAATGTCATACAAACAGGTGTGATACTGCAAGTTACATTTCCGGTTCAAAGTGAAAAAAACTGAAAACAAAATATTTGCAGATTCATTTTCTCATCTCACAATCCCTTGGGCCTAGAAGATTCAGTCCTACACAACACAGGTCACTGCCAGTTTTTTCTGTCATGTTGCAATGTGCAGCACGGAGTCCCACGGGGGGTCCTTTAGCTGGGAGCAGTATTTCATTTTACTTAGTTTCATAATGGAAAACAGCTGTTCACAAATGTGGGTACTCCCAAACATGGAGAGCATCCTGGCACAGTGGGTTTTGTATTTCGGGTAGCTGCTCCACAGGTGTTTGTAGAATTCTGGTATCCCGACCTTGTCGTATTTTGTTTTCAGCACTGTGTTGCATTGCAGATCAATAACCTCCATCTGCAGTTCTTCGTGCACACTATCAATCTTCATGGAGAACGGAGAGCTGAACAGGGTCAGTTCACTTTCATAGAGTTTGAAATCAGACAACCTTTTCTGGAATTCAGTCTTCAATTCCACAATTTTGGGAATGTAGTTCAGGCCATCACTTTCATTTCTGGAGACTGATTTCAGTGTGGGAAAATGGGCCAGATTATTCCTGGCCAAATGAGTCTCCCATAGACACAGTTTTGCTAGGAATGCCCGAATCAGGTCGTACATTTGCGTAACAATTTGTGAATGCCCTTGGAGGGATATATTCAAAGTGTTCAGATGCATCGTCATATCAACCAAGAAGGCCAGGTCTCTGATCCAATCTCGAGAGCTCAGTTGAGGCAGGGGTTTTCCTCGGGATGACATGAAGGAATCGATTTCTTCCAACGATTCAAAAAATCTCTTCAGCACCAGCCCACGACTGAGCCACTTAATCTCTGTGTAGTACAAAAGGCTGCCATATTGGCTGTCCAGTTCATAAAGCAAGGTTGTGAACTCACTGTGGTTCAGCCCACGGGAGCATATCCACTTCACAGAGTTAACTACCACGTCCATGACATGGTCCATCTTTAACTTTTGAGCACAAAGTGATTCTGGGTGAATAATGCAACAAATGGACTTAAGTTCTGAGCCCTTGCAAGACATTCCCACCTTGGACTTCAGCTTGGTGACAAGTCCATTACTTACATCCACCATCACTGGAGTGCCAGTGGAGGCCACGCTTACTAATTTTGACCAGTCGATATTGAACTTTTTAAGACTTTTCTCAACACGCAAAAATATCTCATTTCCAGATTTTGTACCTGTCATGGGCACCGTATCCAAAAGTTCTTCAGACACATCAAAATTCTCATCGACACCACGGATGAATATGGCCAACTGCGTGGTATTATTTATATCTGTGATCTCATCGATCGCAATAGAATATGCTACAAATGACTTGATTTTTTCACGTAACTTCTCCCATAAGTTCCCAGCCACATCTTCTACGGGCTGCACAACAGTGTTTTCAGTTGGATTCACATTTGCAAACAATTGTTTTTGTTCAGGACACTCAATTTCTGATGACCCTAAGAGATACTTCCTGAGCCCTTTTTTTAGCTCATGAAGCTTCTCATCACGCACCTTTTCAGTATACTGGTCATAGTGCTTGCTGTGGTTGGTTTGATAATGGCGCCTTAGGTTGTATTCTTTGGACACAGACATGCTCTGTTTGCATATTAAACATGTAGGAATATTCTGCACTTCCACGAAGAAATACGCTCTCTCCCACTTTTCTTGAAACACACGGCCCTCCTGGTCTATCTTTCGTTTTCCCACTTTTCATAGAGACATGGAGACAAGAAATATTTCACTTTTCTCTTTACTATCATAACAACAGCAGCAAATGCAGGGTGATAAACACGAGGGCTGAAGTGGCTGGGGCAGGGCAGGGCTGACTGGAGAGCAACCCACCCCGCAGAGAGGCACAGCTGACGCTCTGCTCCAGCCAACTGCTGCCACGAGGGAACATGGGCCCCCCATGGCCAGATCTCCAGATTTCCGAAGAAAACCTAGAGATTGACTTTTTTGAAAGTGTGCCTGGCTTTTCTATTTTCCTTTTTTTCAAAGAAAATGTAATTTTATTAATACTATTTTTATATTCTAGGATGTTGTTGAGGAGCAGTTGGGAGGGAGGGGGAGAGGGGAAGGGGTAAGGAAATGGAATGGAAGAAGGAGGAAGGAGGAGGGGAAGGATTGAGGCCTGTGGCAGCCCCCTCATTCCCATAGGGGAGACAGGGGTGCAGGGGATTGAGGGGGGGTGGGGTGTTCCAGCGGTGGCTTGGTCATTGCCAGGCTGGGTGCAGATGTCAAGGGATGTGGCAAAATCGCTCGCCCCCCACTGTCCCAGCTCGGGAACCTGGGGCCCTTCTTGCTGTGGCTTGGTGGTCATCACTGGGCTGGTTGCACCTGTTGGAGGGGTATGGCCGAGGCCCAAGGCTCCTCCACTGCCCTGGCTGGGGAGAGCCTGCGGTGCTTCCTGCAGTGGCTGGGTGGTCGCTGCTGGGCTATGTGCCTGGCTTTTCAATGTTGGCTTCTACTTCTCATTTTTAAGAGGTATATGAGCCAAACAAAAGACATCTTTGGCGGGTTTCAGTGTGTAGCTGTATTTGCTACAGCTGGTTTCAACAGCAGTGATTTGACAGTATGTTTGCATTTGAATGTATATTTTCTCATTTGATTCCCAAGAGAACGTTGAAATAACAGCGATGGAAGTAAGCACAGAAAGCATATGATTTGCCTGCTGTGAGTCTCTAAAGACATGGGTGACAGCTGCAGAACTGCACAGAACTCACACATATAAATGTGTTCAGGTGTACATGTGCCAGTGTTTTAAATTTAAAGAACCTGGCCACCGTGAAGGTAAGCAAGGTACTTCCAGAGAACACAGACATGAAAGTTCACTTTAAGAAAATGTACGCAAATCTACAAAGACAGAAAGTCAATTAGTGGTTGCCTAGGGCCAGGGATAGGAATAGGAAATGACTGGAAATGGGTAGGAGTAATCCTGGGGTGATGGGAATGCTGTAATGTTAGACTGTGGTAACAGCTGCACAACTCTAAATTTACTACAAATCACTGATTGTACACTTAACACAAGTGAATTTTATGATATGTAGATGATGCCTCAATAAAGCTATTCAAAATATATAAAAAATCATTTAGCAACCAGATGAGCTTAAAAATAATAATCGAGCATTTTAAAAGAACACTTTAGCTTTCAAACTTTAGATTAGGGGTTACCCAGTGACCCAAACTCTGGAGAACATCTCTGTTTCTTCTGCTTTACCACCTTATAGGAAACTGGCTGACCTGCAAGGGCTCTAGGGGAGACATTAAAAAGATTTAACAAGCAGAGTGGCCTGTGCATTGCTCAACTGCACTGCTGAATCAGAACGGATGTCAACTTTAGCACTGGAGGTGTTTCTGGGGCTCCTGCTGTGCCAGGCGGTACCCTTTTTGCTTTCGAACTGTGGGGATGTCAGGTCGGGGTCAGGGGTGCTAGGGGTGGGGCTACAGTAGCAAGTAGTGACTATTTACCAACTAACCCTGCCTAGTTAAGTATTGTGACCTCAGGTGCAGCTGTGCAGGTGGCCCCAAGGGAGTCCCACCACAAAGCGCTCTTGAATAAGGGTGTGCTACATCACATGTCACACACACAGTTTGATGTAGATCAAGCTTCATGAAACTGTTGTATGAGAAAAAATGCCTGGTTAATAAAAAGCAACAGAGTTATGGGACTTTGTAACATGCAGGAAAAAAATTAAGTACATGTAAAAGGCTGCATGCTGTGCTCTGAAGCTCAAGGCTCAAGAAGCAAGGACCCCATGGCAGTGCCCACTGAGACACCTCACACAGCATAACAGGTGCTGGGACACTCTTGCCACACAGAATACTCACCATTACTTAGCTCAAGTCCTGGAAGCGGTCTGAAGAGAAAGAGACATTGGTAAATGGAACGTTTTCCCTCTCTCGTCCAATTAGTTCTATTTGACAAACTTTGCTGAGTGTCAACTCTATGCTAGAAGGATTGGGAGATAAAACTGAGATGGGGTGCCCACAATCACCAAGAATCAGGAACATGGACACGACTCTCAGAAGCAGAAGATGGTAAAGTGAGAGTGAGAGGCAGCAGGGCCCAGGAGTTAACTGGAGGGACCCCATGGCCCACCTCCCGGGGCAAAAATCTCTGGCCTGCTTCTTGCCCACCTTGGGTAAGTTATGATCTTCAGATTCCTTCCCATGACCGAGCCAGGGACTCTCACTTGCCTAATGACTGTGAATTTGATAAACTCTGCGGCATCCAAGATCCTTCTCATGGAGCTGATTTCCAAGTAACCAGGGGCTTTGAACACCACTCCTGGGGGCATACCATCAATCACCACACAGCCAGGGTTGAAGGTGATTTTCCTGTAGGGAACTTTCACAGGGAAATCCACACCAATAGCTTCACCTGTGACAAGACAAGGAGCATAAAACTAGTTGAGTCTGTCACTTACTTTTCCCAAACCATGCTTTATCTTTAATGTCAAGATTTAAAAATTATTCTCATTAAATGACAACACCGGTGATCAGCCATTATTACTTTATTTTCCAGCAGTACTATGATGTGTGAATACAACCTTATTTATTTTGAAATTGTTGTGGGTAGTACAGCAGACTCAGTTTCTCCATCCATTAAATAGGAATGACCATAGTACCTACCTGAAAGGTTTTTGAGAGGATTAAATGATTAAACACATGTCAAGCACTAAAAATAATGCTCACTCAACATAAGAACTCAGTAAATAAAAGATAGCCATTATCATCATCATCAGTGTTTCCATGCACAAGGGCATCAGTGAAAATACACACTAATTTTGATTATAGATCTTTTGCAGAAAGATCAATTTCTTGTAAGATAAAATCTTCTTTTATTTATTTATTTATTTTTGATTTTGAGGGCTGGCTGGTAAGGGGATCTGAAACATTGACCTTGGTGTTATCAGCACCATGCTTTAACCAAATGAGCTAACCAGCCAGCCCCAAATAAGTATCCTTTTAAAAAGAAGTATTTCAAGTATGCAAATACTGGATATGTAATGATATAAATTTAAAACTTACCAAATTTTCGGCTAAAGAGGTCATTGACTTGTTCTCTTAGCTGTTTAATCTTTTCAATGCTTGATAATCTCTCCTTCTCATTATCTAAAAATAATTAAACAAATAAATAAACCAGGGTTATTAATGTATTTTCCCCCATGAAAGCTGTTGGAAGAAATGCCTGTCAGCACTTGAGAAAGCACTTTACGTGGCTTATCATTCAGTTTACTTTTAGCAATAATTAAGCATTTTGGAAACTTGTAAATGGAAGCCATTATAGACAATGGAGGATTTTCCAAATTACGACCCTATATAAACATACTACATACTAGAAAACACTTTCAATATCATGTAAGACAAAGATGTCCACTTTCACCACCACTCTTCAACATTATAATAGAAATCTGAGCCAATGAAATATGACAAGTTAAAGGAAACAGATATACTAGGATTAGAAGGGAATACTTTTCAATACTTTAAACATTTTATTCTATTTCTTTTTTTTTTTTTTTTTTTTTTTTTTTCCGTGTCCGGCAACGGACCCCAACCCTCAGTGTTGCCCCCGTACCGGACCGGGGACCGGCAACGGGATTGCAACCCTCGGTGCTGCTCCCGCGCCTCGCTCAGCCAGTGAGCGGGAACCGGTCTGTATGTGGGATCCGAACCCTCGGGAGGGAGCGCCGCCGCGCTTCCCAAGCGGCGCACTTATCCAGTGCGCCACCGGGCCGGCCCTATTCTATTTCATTTTGAATAACTAAAGCAATCACATGTCAAAGTTCAAGAGGAAAAAGAATGAAATTCTGCCATTTGCAATAACATGGATGAGCTTAGAGAAAATTATGTTAAGTGAAATAAGCCAGGTGCAGAAAGAGAAATACTGCATGTTCTCACTCATATGTGGAGGTTAAAAAAGTTATCTCACAGAAATAGTAGAATAGTGGTTACTAGAGACTGGTAAGGGAAGGGTGAAGGGGGTGCGGGGTATGGGGATATGGTGGTCACTGGATACAGAATTGTAGAGAGATAGGAAGAGTAAGATCTAGTGTTCTATAGCAATATAGGGAGACTGCAGTCAACAACAAATTACTGTATATCTTCAAGTAGCTAATTGAGAGGATTTTGAATGATCCTGACATGATAGATATGCTAAATATCCTGATATCATCATTGCACACTGTATAAATGTACCCAAATATAACACTGTACTCCATAAATATATACAATTATCACAGGTCAATTAAGAAAAAAAAAAAAAAGAAGAAGAAGAAGAAGAAATAGTAGAACAGTGGTTACCAGAGGCTGGAAAGGGGAGGTGTGGGGAAGAGGTTGCTAAAAGGATACAAAGTTACAGTGAGATAGGAAGAATAAGTTCTTCTGGTGCTCTAGGGTGACTAGAGCTGATATTTTATTGTGTATTTCAGGATAGTCAGAAAAGAGGATCTTGAATGTTATAACCACAAAGAAATGATAAATGTTTAGGTGACAGATATGCTAGCTATTCTGGCTACATCATTATACAATATATGTGCATGTACTGAAACAACAAACTGTATCCCATAAAAATGCACAATTCAAAAATAAATAAGTTCAAGAGGTATAAAACTGTATATAGAAACATCTCTCTCACATCCCTCTCTCAGCTGTTTCTTTTCCCAGAAGAACTACATTATTAGATTCTTTTGCATCTTTCTAGATATATTTTACATACACATAGTTAGAAAAGAAGATTATTTAACAATAGGCAACAAATACATTTCACTTCTATGACCAATTATAATTCAATGGTAGCTGGTATGTAGAGTTGCCTTCTCTGAGATGGATTTTCCAGGTAAAGCCTGGGCTTGGCCAGGAGAAACAACATACGATTAGCACTGTCAGACGTGAGCAAGATATCTGGGGTGTGGCAAACTGCAGCGTATTTTATATTCCTGAATTATCCTTTTTGTGACCGGCTGCACCACGCTCAGCCAGTGAGTGCTGTGACCGCACCGGTCATCCCTATATAGGATCCGAACCCACGGCGGGAGCGCCGCTGTGCTCCCAGCGCCACACTCTCCCGAGTGCGCCACGGGCTCAGCCCTATATTCCTGAATTATCATTCTTCAGTTGTCAGGGTAAACTAAGCAAAAAACGACAGCTCTGAGAGACTAACCCATATCATAAAATGGTGAAGATGAAATGAAAAATATAATATAAAGTAAATTATGACAAAGCCAAATAAACATCCATACCTGGGACTGTCACCTGAACGATGTTAAGATCTTCAACACCTGCTGCAGAGTTTGTAATATTGGTTGAATTTGTGTTTCCTTAAAACAGAAATTGAAGTTTAGAATTTATAGAAAATAAGGCCAATTCTCTTCTAAAAATGTCAACAGCACCATTTTGATCAGAACCCAGACTGAATTTTTTTAAAATGCAGAGAACATTTAGCTACAGGATACCGAGGTGGCTCGGGATCAACTGACATCTGAGTCCCTGCACTTCAGTGCTGCTGTCAAAGGGGAGGGCACGATGACTGCTACTTTGTTCTTAGCTCCTGATACTTCGGCCCGTCTATAATTTTAAGAAAGGTATTAAAATTATATTTCCTTTGTTGTTACTCTCAATATAAAGGGAGAAAAGGGAAGTCAGACTTTATAAGTATGCCCTAAAGGACATTCAAAAAGCAGATATCCTGTGAAAAATGGATTAACAGACATAGTCCGGGAAAGGCTCAGACAGGGTTAAACTACAAAAGCATGGCTAACATCATCAGGTTTTCTAGTCAAACGATAAAAACAATATTTACTTAAGTTATATGTGACAAATGTAAATTAACCTGTCTGGTCCTTTCTGAGGAACGCAGAGCTCAGTCCTATGTTATGTGAATGACCTTCACTCGGGCACGGGAGAGCCTGCACCTGACCAGCATGATCTCAAAAGCACATAAGTAGTCGAAGCGTCAACAAAAGCCCACAGGTTTTTCTGTGGTGCCCATGCTGCTTCCAACATAGAATTTTTGGAGAAATGTGGGTAAATCTGCTGCTCTTGACCTTAAAAGCACTCAATTTTTTTTTCTTTTAAAGATGACCGGTAAGGGGATCTTAACCCTTGACTTGGTGTTGTCAGCACCACGCTCACCCAATGAGCTAACCGGCCATCCCTATATGGGATCCGAACCCGTGGCCTTGGTGTTATCAGCACCGCACTCTCCCGAGTGAGCCACGGGCCAGCCCAAGCACTTAATTTTTTTAAAAATTAAATCTAATAAATCTTGAAAAGTCTGACACTGTCAGGTACAACAATAAGAGATTACTGAAACTACAGTGAGGTTCCATCATCACCTTGAAATAAGAAAAACATTTTAGGGCACTTAACATTGCTAAGCCTCCAAAATACTCAGAACCAAATTCAGGTCATCGAACTCAATTAACAGATCATGCCAGAGAATGAGGCACTATGTTCTGATGTTCATCTTTTTCACATAATCAAAGTGTTTATGTTTTATCATTAAAATTGATTCCTCAGGGCCAGCCTGTGGCTCACTTGGGAGAGTGTGGTGCTGATAACACCAAGGTCATGGATTCAGATCCTTGAATAGCGATGGCCACGTGGTGCTGACAAGTCAAGGGTTAAGACCCCCTTACCGGTCATCTATAAAAAAAAAAAATTTGATTCCTCAAAATATAAATATCTGTCACAAAACACACTAAGCACAATGTCTCTTTTAAAATTGATCAGATCCAATTAAAATTAATGCATACAAGTTGGCAATTAATCCATTAGTTACCCTTCACACTTCACATGGATGGCACCTCTCAGTGGTGAGTCTATGTCTGAACTCTTAAACTCTCACTTCACACAAGCAATGACTGCTCCACTGCCTTACAAGTTAGTTTACAGCTTCTCATCTGGCTCCAGAGTCTAGCGTCATTGCAGTAATTCACGTTAGACAAAGGAGAACAAGGACACACCTGCAGATGGACTTCCAAATGCATTAGTCCTCTGCTAGATGCATTCACATTAGTGCATACATTATTTACGAATCACTTATGACTAATTCTTAAAAAAACTGCCACCCAGAATAAAAGGATGCTGAGGCCTGCACTCCCTATACAATTGTGATGCCCCCAAAGACAAAAGTACAACACAGGAGCCACCTTGGAGACAACTTTCCATCAACCAGCATTTAAATCAGTGCTGGACTTTGATTCTACCATGAGATTTTTCTCTTTACATTCTTAAAAGTACCTTCAGGAAACAACCCAAATCTCCATTAACAGATGAATGGATAAACTGTGATATATACATACAATGGATTATTATTCCACCTTAAAGAGGAAGAAAGTTCTGATACATGCTACAGCATGGATGAACCCTGAAGACATTAAGTGAAAGAAGTGAGACACAAAAGACCACATATTGTATAATTCCATTTATATGAAAGATCTAGAATAGGCAAATCCATGGAGCTAGAAAGCAGACTGGTGGCCAAGATCAAGGATTCAGAATCCCATACCGGCTAGCTGCCAAAAAAATAAATAAATAAAAATAAAGCAGATTAGTGGCTACCCAGGGGTAGTGACAGGGGAGAACAGAGAGTAACTACTTAATGGGTACAGGGTCTTCTTTTAGGGTGGTGAAAATGTTTTGAAACTACACAGAGGAGATGGTTCCACAACACTGTGGATGTACTAAATGCCACTGAGTTGTTCACTATGAAAGAGTTGATTTTATATTATGTGAATTTTACTTCAATTAAAAAAAAATACTTTAAGGGATTTCCTTTTGTGGAATTTTAAGAAAAAAAAAAATCCTCAAATGTCCTTAGCTGGTTCAGAAGGATGCTCCAAAATCAAGCGTACCTGATGCCACACTAACCTTAGGATGACTCTGAAACTGGGCCATGTAAATACCATGTTTTATCTATAAACCTACTCAGGCCCTGCTGACCTCAAGCACAGATGAATCGGCACAAATCCAACCTCACCGATGGAAAATCCCTCTGGAAATACATCGCCCCCTGGCTGTGGGTCAGTGACATCGTCCCTCTGTGCTCTTCTCCCCTAACAGCAACATAAAGCTGTCAGGCTAAAACACACAGAGGATGTCCATTAGCACAGACCCAGATGATATCTGAATTTTTCCCCTTAAGTAATAAATATATGCTTACTGTGGAGAATTAGGGAAATAGTGAAAGGTAGAAGGAAAAAATTAAAGTCAAACGTAATCCCAATACTGTTTGAATAGTTTGTTTTTTTGTATTTTCTTCTATTTTGTTCTTTCTATATAATAAATTTTCTAAACAAAACCAAGATCTTACTGTAATTTATGACTTCTCTGAGCCCTCCTCTCTTTTGTTTATAACTTTTCTTGTGACACACAGTTTTCTTAGTTTTCACGAAGCATATGTGAGCATTTTTCTAAATGAATCGCCACAGTCCATTCTGACTTTTGGACACTTAAACTGCACCTACTTTTTCTTTGCTATAAATGATGAGAGAGCTTTTACTCCCCTCTAAAACAATCAACTGGATGAAACCTTTTAGAATTCAAATGAATGAAGTACAATGGAGAAATCAAATCAGGACAGGAACGTTCAGTACATCTTGCAACTCTCCCAGTCATGGCACAATGAATTCAGACCCTGTGGTGTTCCATGTGCAGTAACATTATCTCTAAATAAAAAAGAGCCACTCAGCAAAAAAAAAGTAAAAACAATTTCAAGTGGACAAATGTTTATTTTAAAAGCATAATCATTTCTTTAGTTTGTATACCATTATCCAAAGACTACCACATTTCTGATGGAAAAATGATAAGAATGCAGTTATTTAATGCAATTTTATAATTCAGATTTTACTAATTCAAATTCATACTTGTTCAGGTGAGTGAGATTTTATTAAATGCTAGCGTGGAATTATTTAGCTAATGACATTAATTCAGAGACCTCGTAACATTATTAAATATGCAAAATAAAAGAACTTCTCACACTAGGGAGACACTACGGATCAGCTCATATTCCAGCAGCAGAGATAAAAATATCCTTTAGTGGATTACTAAGTGGATCACAGTGAAAGAAACTACAACACATCCTTTTAACTAAATGGGCGGAAAATCCACAAATTCCAGGATAAATTGTCTTATTCATTTACCTAAGAAATCAAAACAGCTTTAAGAAATTTTTAATTATAAAAATGGTCTTAGAATATGTTTCTAAATACTTGACGTGGTTTTGAAACAAGCAAACACACAAACAGAAAACTAAACAGATAACACGACAGTTTGTAAGTATTTTAAATAAAATAACCCTACAAAGGGATCCTAGGAAAGTAAGCCCTGACTAAACCACACTTTCTTCTTTCCTTCCTTTAGACACCTGCACTTGAGCTGAGTTCACAGTCGCAGGCCCGAGGAGCAGCTGTTCCTCTTGAACTCTGCTCACCCACCCTGGCAGGACAGGGTGTGTCTCTGAGTGAATGCAGTCCTTTCCCCTTCCATTTGTCCCCTTGCTGGCCCCTCACCATCCATTCTTTCCTCATTTGTCTCACTGTGGGCCAGTGCTAATTTGCATGGCTTAATTATGTTGTCTAAAACTGGGTCCTGGGCTGGTTGGTTAGCTCAGTTGGTTACAATGCAGTGTTATAACACCAAGGTCATGGGTTCAGATTGCCGGAACAGCCAGCTGAAAACATAAATAAATAAATAAATAAATAAAAGTGGGTCCTGATGGGACTATGGGCTGCTCTAGTCCTACAGACACACACATTGATTTCAGTCTCTTTCCCACAATAATCCTTTTACAAACAATGAAAACCATACTTAGCAATGTAACTGCAACCAGGCTTTTGGCAACTAACCTTCAATTTTCACCTCAGCTTCAGAGTTCTCATTTGTTTCAGAAGGGACCAGCTGAGTAGAATCTTGAAAAAAAAAAATTTTCTAAAATAACATTGATTATTAAGTATTCTCTTCATGTTCCAATATTTCACTGCTCTTATACCAAAAAGTAGCATATTCTGGCATTTTAAATACAGTTCGTACATAATAAATGTGAAGGTAATTTTAATTTTATAAGGTATAATAATAGGATAATAAAGGATAATTTTATAAAGGATCCTCTTATAAGGGATAAAGGGAGATAGAAACTTTCAGATATTATCAAATTATACAGAGTTACCCACATTAACGGACATAGAATTCTTCTATTTGGGGTAATGGGATTCATGTGGTCATAGTGTTTTCTTGTTGTCATCAGGAATTACTAGGATAAAAAAAAGCCATTTGTCTCGGTTAATAGCTCCCCTCTTATCCCACCAGTAACGCCAGGGCGATTCGTAGTCTGTAGTCTATTGTTACATGCAATCATGACCGATCTTCCAGTGGACAAGAATTATGACATATATATTAAGTTCTACATACAGACAAAAGGTATAAATAAATCCTAGGTAGAAGGGAGACAAAATTCCTACCTGGCTAGAGATTATCTCGCCTAACTCTGGCTCATTTTAGAAAGATTTGCCAAAGATGATATTAATTATGAGTAATGGAAAAAAGACTAGAACTCAAAGCTAATTTAACTGTTTTTTTTTTTTTCCTTTTTGTCTTTTTTCGTGTCCGGCAACAGATCGCAACCCTCAGTGTCGCGCCCGTACCGGACCGGGGACGGCAACGGGATCGCAACCCTCGGTGCTGCGCCCGCCCCTCGCTCAGCCAGTGAGCGGGAACCGGTCTGTATGTGGGATCCGAACCCTCGGCAGGAGCGCCGCCGCACTCCCAAGCGGCGCACTGTAGCAGTGCGCCACCGGGCCGGCCCCTAATTTAACTGTTTTGATATCATGCTGTAGCCATGTGAGATGCTGTCTCTGGAGGAAAATGGGTGAAGGTACATGGGACCTTCTCTGCACTACTTTTGTAGCTTCTTGTGAATCTATAACTATGTCAAAATAAAAAGTTAAAAAACAAAATTAATTCAGGTCCATTATAGATGGACTTCCCACTGTACTGTGATAATAAAAAATATCCCTAGAAAGAAAGTACCTCAAGGACCAACACCAGATGAGGACCTCTGCTTCCCCACCGAACCCCAGCTCTGCAACCGACACCCACCCACACGGTCTTCTTTCCATTCTATCTACCCATTTAAAAAAATGGCCAAATGACATCTTAACAGGCTTTAACAGAGGGAAGTAAAATGATTAAAAGAGGAACAGGTTTAAGCTGAATTAGAAACAATTGCTCTCCGTGACACCAAGTAAGTTCAGAGATTGAGCTAAAAAAAAAAAGAAAAAACAAAAAATAAACGGAAGAATCCTGTCACATGATACAACATAAACGAACATTGAGAACATGGTTCTAAGTAGAGTAAGACAGTCACAAAAAGACAAAGGCTTGGGCCGGCCCGGTGGCGCACTGCTACCGTGCGCCGCTTAGGCGCGCAGCAGCGCTCCCGCCGAGGGTTCGGATCCCACATACAGACCAGTTCCCGCTCACTGGCTGAGTGAGGTGCGGGCGCGACACCGAGGGTTGCGATCCCTTGCCGGTCCCAGTCCGGTACGGGCGCGACACTGAGGGTTGTGATCCGTTGCCAGACACGAAAAAAGACAAAAAGGAAAAAAAAAAAAAAGACAAAGGCTGTATGATTCCATTCATATGTAGTATTTAGAGGTGTCAAATTCCTACATACAGGAAGTAGAATGGTGGTTACCAGGGGCTGGGGGAGGGGATGGGGAATTGCTGTTTTATGTGTACAGAGTTTCTGATTTGCAAGATAAAAAAGTTCTGGAGATCTGTTTCACAACAATGTGAATATACTTCATACTACTTAGAGATGGTTAAGATGTAAATTTAATGTTACATATGTCTTAATAAAAAAAATTAAGTTAAACAATGATATAGTCAAACTGTCCTCTTGTTTTAAAGCAACTAAGTTCAAAACGACTAATTTTACAAGTGAATAAACAATTCTAAGACTGGAATCCATCTCACTATAGTCTTTTTCCTTGGGCAAAATGTGTCAAAATTTTTTGGGTCACAGAACTGATGGATAAGTTACTCAGGGGGCTGTTGGAACCATCCTCTACAATAAAGAACTCCAGACCCCCACAAATCAGAGAAGTTACTAAAAATGATCACATCAGCTCCTTGGAGAATGCTGTTGACTTAGTGAAAACAAAACAAAAGAAAATCATTTTGGTACTGTACTTGTTAACTATCTGTCTTAGACAGATACACAACTCCTAAAAGAAAGATCATCTTGCTTGAAAATTGACAAAGATGTTCCATGCCTCTAGGTTTGGAGAGGAAATCTCTTTTACTAATTTCATCCTGGTGGGCTGGCCGATTAGTTCAGTTGGTCAGAACATGGGGCTGATACACCAAGGTTCACGGTTCAATCCCTATACCAGCCAGACACCAAAAAATAAAAATAAAAAATAAAAAGATAATTTTATCTTGGATATACACAAACCACTTTATTCTCAAGATTTATAGGGCCGGCCCGGTGGCGCACTGCTACAGTGCGCCGCTTGGGAGTGCGGTGGCACTCCCGCCGAGGGTTCGGATCCCACATACAGACCAGTTCCCGCTCACTGGCTGAGCGAGGTGTGGGCGCAACGCCGAGGGTTGTGGTCCCGTTGCCGGTCCTGGTCCAGTACGGGCGCAACACTGAGGGTTGCAATCCATTGCCGGACATGAAAAAAGACAAAAAAAAAAAAAAGATTTATAGATGATGCTCAAGGTTTATATATGAATGGAGGGAAGTATTATCAAATTTTACTTCTAATTCAAGAATTTCCCAAAATACTATTCAACTCTGCTCAAAAGAATTTTAGCATGCCACATCAAAAGACAAAATGAAATTAGCAACAAAGAGCACCAGGTGCAAAGTTAACTTCTTTACCCAGGAGCTTTAAGTAGAATCACTTACAGATGAGAAAAGTGAGAGAAGAGTAGAGCCCTTAATACTATGTCTGAGGACGAGGACTCGAGTTTTCTGAGGCGGCCGGCACACCCAAAGAGTCACCTTCTTTATTTCCAAATATGTGTGTTTAAAAGAGTATGTTCTCTTGTAAAATACTACAAACTTTAGAAAAGAGAGAGAGAGAAACAAAGTGCTTCATTTTTCTAACCTTCCATTGGTAATTCCATTTCTATTACTTCATTGCTTGTGGAAGAACGATGGCTTTCTGAAAGGAAAATAAATAAAACACAACAAAGTAAGAAATAAGTATTCTAAAGGAACCATTTAATACAATGCAAACAATTCAAGACCCACACAGGAACACACATGAAATACTCCCACTCCTTGAAATAAAATTCAGACAAATGATCCTTTCTTTACTTTTTCTCTTCATCATTGTGTCTTGACTTTGGAAATTTTTTTTTTTCCTTTTTGTCTTTTTTCGTGACCGGCAATGGATCGCAACCCTCAGTGTCACGCCCGTACCGGACCCGGACTGGCAACGGGATCGCAACCCTTGGTGTTGCGCCCGCACCTCGCTCAGCCAGGGAGCGGCTGGTCTGTATGTGGGATCCGAACCCTCGGCAGGAGCGCCGCTGCGCTCCCAAGCGGCGTACTGTAGCAGTGCGCCACCGGGCTGGCCCTGGAAATTTTTAAACATACAAAAGCAGAGAGATCATATAAGGCAGGCCACATGCCCATCAACTCACGTAATCCTGTTTTATCTGTGCCCACTCTGCCCCCACACGCACTGCGTGTTATAAAGTAAATCCCGGCTATGATAAAATCCCACTTGCAACTGCCGTGGTATGTACAAGTAAAAGACAAGGGCTCTCTTCCTTTAGGGTTACCACAGTATCATGATTACCCCCCAAGTTAACAATAATTCTTTACCTTCATCTATTATCTAGTGATTGTTCAAATTTCTCCCTGTACAGGCCAGCTGTGAAAAAAAAAAATTCCCCAACTGTCTCATAAACATCTCTTTTGTTTGTGGTTTTCTTTTTTTTGGTGGCTGGCCGGTATGGGGATCTGAACCCTTGACCTTGGTGTTATCAGCACCTGCTCTAACAAATTCACTGGCCAGCCCCCTCATAAATGTCTTTTAAAAAAGAAAAAGAACTATTTGGAAATAGTTTTAAACTTATAGAAAAGTTCCAAAGATAAAATAGTAGAAAAATCCATAAGATCTACACACCCTTTGCCCAGATCACATCATGGTAACATTTTATTCCATATCCTTGATCATCCCCCCTCCCTCCTTCCCTAAATATAGAGAGAGAGGTGTATATATATATATACATAATTCTTTATTTCTTCTGAGCCACTTAAGGGAAAGTTACATACATCATGGTCCTTTATTTCTAAATACTTCAGTGACTATTTCCTAACAAAGGGGACATCTCGTTACATAATCACAATAAAGCTTTAAAAATCAGGAAATTTAACACCGAGACAATATTTTGACCTATTCCAGTTTTGTCAGTTGACCCCAAATGTTCTTTATAGCTTTTCCCCCTTCAGTACACAGTCCAGTTTAGGACCAGGTAGTGTTCCTAGTTGTGTCTCTTTAGTCTACTTTAATCTGACAGTTCCACAGTCTTTGTCTGTCATGGCATCGACACTGTTTAAGAATAGAGACCCCCTCCCCCCATGCTCCCCACCCCAAAAGAATGCTCTTAATTTTGCGTTTGCCTGATGTTTCCTCACCATTAGCTTCAGGGTTTTGCATTCTTGGCCAGAATACTGCCTCGATGATGCCGTGTCCTTCTCAAGATGTCACATGGTGGGGCGGGCATAATGTCCACCTGTCCCTCACTGTTGATGTGAATTTGATCACCTGGTCAAGGTATTGTCTCATTTCCCCGCTGTATAATTACCATTTTTTTCCCTTTCCTCTCATAACTAACTAGCAGCCTATAGGGAGAAACTTTAAGACCACATAAATATTCTACTCTTCTCTAAGAGAAGACTCCTCTCTAAGTTTAGCATTCATTGATGATTCCCGTTTGACCCAACCTATCATTATAATGGTTGCAAAAAGATGGTTTTCCAACTCCAGCATTCTTCCTATCTTCCAGTCGTCACTTGGCACTCCACAGTGAGCAGTGTTTTTCTACAGTTTGTTCAAATCAGGATCCCAACAAAACCCACACACTGTACATGGTTATATCTCTAAAATAAATCTCTTTTACTTTAAAACAGGCGTCTCTCCATTTTTTTTTTACCTGCCGTTATTTGTTGATGAAATTAGTTCCTTTGTCTCACTGAGTCTCTCATGTTCTGGAATTTATTGACTGCATCTTTGTGATGGTTTCATATGTTCCTGCATTCCCTGGATTTTCTGAAAACTGCTTGTTAGATCTAAAGTCTGGATCAGACCTAGGTTTGATTTTTGGGGGCAAGAATCCTTGCCAAAGGTGGTGTGGTGTACTCCCTGGTTACCTCTCTTTGTGATATTAACCAGGGGACCAGTGAGTTCATGGTAAAGTCCCCATCAACCTTTTATAAATAGTTTTAAGGGCCATTGATGATTATTGTCAAGATGCATTGTTTCATTAGGAGTTGCAAAATGGTGACAGTTTATGACTCCTATTTTTTTAAAATTTTATTTTATTTTTGGCTGCAAAACAAGTCTTAATACATTTAAAAAGACTAAGATCATAGAAAATGTGTTCTCTGACCAAAATAACAGAATGAAATTTAGAAAACTCACAATGTGTGGAAATTAAATAAGACTTTCCTAAATAAACAATGGGTAAAAAGAAAGATCACAGGGAAATTAGGGAGTACTTTGAGATAAAAGTCAAAGTGCAACGTATCAAAATTCATAGGATGCAAGGCTCACACAGTGCTTAGAGGAAAATTTAGATTTGTAAACACATATTAAAAGTACGAAAAATCTTGGGGCCGGCCCGGTGGCGCACTGGATAGTGCGCTGCTTGGGAAGCGCGGCAGCGCTCCCGCCCGAGGGTTCGGATCCCACATACAGACCGGTTCCCGCTCACTGGCTGAGCGAGGCGCGGGAGCAGCACCGAGGGTTGC